TATGACTCAAAAGAAATGGGAATTACATTTGTTGATATTAACTTATGCTTCCATGAGAATTTTTCTACTAGCCAAATCAAATAATCCTTGAGGGTTAATTTTTAGACAATTTTTAGAAAAAAGAATGATAGATGAAAATGTTTATAAATAGTATTCTTAATAATTTAACATGTAATGGTATTATTCCCAAACATTAGACTTTAAATCCAAGATTATTTAAAAATGCATGTCAAAATCTTTCAAAGACATCTGATGTGTGCCTTCTTACAGTATGTCTTTTTCTAGAAATAGGATGTCACTGCAGTAAATTATAATAGGGTTTTATTGTAACTTACTGCCTTGTGTAAATTCTACTAATTATGGTTTGTAAAGCATGATTTAAGGTTTAGTATAATGCATGAACATATCCAATTCTTGTTTAATCAAGTAACCAGAATATAATGGTCTTCTCTGAGCCTGGGAAGGAGGAAGCTTTTTCAAAAAAACGAATTAAAATATGTGGAGATTCCTCCCTTATCTGGTAGATGGCTGGCTATAGGTCCTGCTCATCCAGAGATAGTTACCATAAGAACAATAAAGGCTCTGCCCTAAGGATAAATTTGGCCCTAAAAAAGAATTCATGTCAGGGTTCCTTGCTGAGATTTGTGTGACATGATCCACCTTTTTTTTTCCCTTTCAATAAAATGGCTGAATAAGCCATTGTGAGAATCTTGTGATGGAGTATAAGCAACTGTCAAAAGTTTGATACACATTCTTTAACTTGATTTATATAGATGTCCATTCTGCAACTGAGATTCTGGCAGTAAACGCAGGATTAGCAATCAACGAAGAACAAAAACAAAACAAATAATAAACAATAGAAGTAACAATAATAAGCATAATGACACCCAAAGCCAATGGTTTTCAAAATTGACAACTTTTAGAATGTAGCAATAGCACTTAACACTTAGTTTTATATACCGCTTTACAGCGCTTTTCAGCCCTTTCTAAATGGTTTAGAGTCAGCCTATTGCTCCCAATAATCTTCATTTAAGTCTTCATTTTACCGACTTTGGAAGGATGGAAGGCTGAGTCAACCTTGATCCTGGTGAGATTTGAACTGCCAAACTGCTGGTAATCCGACAGTCAGCAGAAGCCTGCAGTACTGCATTCTAGCCACTGCGCCACCACGGGTCTTGAAATGTAGATTTCAATTCCCAGAATTCCCCAGCCACCATTTCCTAACTGCCATGCTGGCTGAGGAATTCTGGGAGTTGAAGTCCACACATCTTAATGTTGCCAAGTTTGAAAAACAATGCTCTAAATCAGGGGTGTCAAACTTGCATCTTCACGGCAGCATCACGTGACATATCGGGACTTTCCCCCCCTTCGCTATACCAGGTGTAGGCGTGGCCAGCGCATGACACACCCAGCCGGCAGGCCACGAGTTTCACAGCCCTGCTCTAAATCAAACCGCACAACCACAAACATATCAAGAAAAAAAATTGGCAGGCTCATCCAACCTGTCACATGGTATATGAATCCTTTTTTTGTTATTAGCCTGGTTCCTCCAGGTTATTTATGCAACCATTCTTGTTGTGGAAGAAGTGACTGTTTCAAAGTGAGGCACAAGGTTGTTTGTCTTTCTGCTATTCTCACCAAATCTAACACAAACCCACATTTCAGTATGTGAGATACAGCTTACACCCAAAGGTGATGAGTCCAGAGACAGCATCGTGAATTTTGGTGAGCCACCATATTTTTCAAAGCACTCTCCTCCACCAAAACCTAGAATGTCTTGGAAAAACGTCTTTCGCAAAAAAAAACAACAAGTTCCAATACTTAAAATTAACAAACCTGGAAGAATCTGTTGCAGTTCCTCCCAAATTCCCCATACCCCCTGCTAAGGTGCTTTTTCAGAAATGTTTATTTCATGCCTATTTTAACAGGGAACCTTTCTCTTTCACTTGTTGATGGAGACAGGGTTTTTTACCAGCAATTAAAGGCAAGGCATTCAGATTATTGTCAATTAACAAGTTTAGTTATTCTGCCTCCCATCTGCATTGTAGGATAGCTGTTTTCTAGGTATCCTGACCTCAGGAATACATTCAATATATACAGGAGATAGGTTTGTCTTTTTTTATATGGTGCTGCAGAATTTTGCATTCAATCCATGTTTGCCACATTAAACTCATTGAAACAGAACACAAATTAGGCTGCACTATTGAAAGAGAAATTGTTTGAAGCATTTTACCAAAAAGTACTCCTGTAGATTTTATATAAACTAGCAAAAATAGAGGAGGAGAATGCTGGAAGAATCTGCATCAGTGTTGTTTGTGGCTGCAGTTTTATTCACTTTTATACATAAAAATCTTTTTTTCTTATTTTCTCCCCAAAAACTAAGGTGTGTCTTATACTCCAGTGCGTCTTATACTCCGAAAAATATGGTACTCTTCTCCATTAGATACGGAACAATTTATTTTATAATCAATAGTTAGAATCACCTTCACCAAACTGGAGTACCCCAGATACATTGGAATGACAACTTCCCAAAATCCTAGAATCAACACTTGTGGAGCACTTTGAAAGTTGTAGCCATACACATATGAAAACATTCTTAGGGAAAGCTTGGCCAGGATATTACACCATCTTCATCATGAAGGTAACTCATAAACCTATTTTACAGTGGCTGTCCTAGAACTCATGAACTGAGTAGTTTAGGAATATCTGATATGGTAATCAACATAAATTTCCAACCTGCTGCCCTCTAGTCCATACCTAGAATATTATGCCCAGTTCCAGCTCCGCAGTTCAAAATGAACATTAACAAACTTGAATGTGTCCACAGGAAAATAGCCAAGGGGGTTAGAGACTTAGAAAGAAAAAGTTCTGAGTTATTGGAATTGTTGAGTATATTGAGGAAAATCATGTCAGATGTCCTCAGATATCTGATGCTCTGTCATGTACATTATGATCAGTATTGTTCAAGAATATATAACAAGAAACCATGGATTGGAATTATAAGGAAACAGATTTCAACTGGAAATCACAAAGTTTTTCTAACATTAACAACTGTTCAATAAAAGAATCACTTGCCTCGGAAGACAATGGACTCTCCTTCACTGAAAGTGTTTAAATAGAAGGTAGATGGCCATCTGCTGAGTGCTTAGTGGTAGTCAGGTGGTTGGACCAAATGCTTTTCAAGTCCCTTCTAACCCTTATATTCTATGACTGTATTGGCTATGTTGATTGGGGATTATGAAAGCTTTATTTCATAAAGCTTTCATAATATTTCCAATATTTTTGCTAAGGGCTAGTTAGGAGCTCTAAATAAGCTTCTTTAATAGAATGCAGATTCCTCTGTGTTAATACTACTTTAGAAGTCTACATATGCCTAAATAGTTGGGTAAGCTAAACTGCATTTCTACTATATTTATATTCCAGTAATTTTTAAAGAAATTCAGAAGTCTATTTACATGATGTTGAACATTTCATGTATTTTGACCTTGTCATTTAAGATAGTTATCCAAAATATAGTATAAACCTCAAAAAGAGATGGGTGAACTATACTTGCACGCTGGTAATTAAGCAAGAATTCTTCCACAGTTAGATGATAAAGCACCAATTCCTGTGCCATCTGCAACCTTCAGGGCTAATTTCACTCTAAATATGTGATAGTGTGATCAAGCTTGTGTCAAAGCTTGTCCAAATGTAGTTTGGAGTGCTGACATCTTGGGGATTTCAATGCAAAGCAAAGCTCATGCACTGGTTGAATTAATCACTGACGGTAATTTTGTTTTTGGTTTTTTTAACCTCAGCTATTGATTTTATTTATTCAATTTTTTATACTATTTTATGTTTTTCTATAGTTTTTAATTCCTACACGCCCATAGTCATGAATTTATATGGGAATCATATAAACTGAAATAATAAATAAGTATATAACTCAATGCCCAACTTGCTAATGTTATTTAATACATTTAATGCCAAACTTGCCTAATGATTCACAATGTGAAATAACAATATGTCCCTAGTCTGTAGGGGAAAAAAAGAAGAAAAGACTTCCTCATTCACTTGGCTTCAGAACAGTCCTGGCATGTATACCCAGCAGAATCTGGCAATAAGAAATATTGCCATTTGCATCCTATAGAATAACTTACTTCCTCTCTTCACACCTTTAAATTAGGAGTTTTGTTATGATCTCATCTTCTTGTCAGCACAGTGAAAGGTTACTTAAAGATAAGATTTTAAAATTTATCTGACGTGCACCTACTGCAGCATTCCTGCTCTCAAAATTACACAATGTTACAGAGAACAAGTTTGTCTGTGCAAGCTATATCAGTCTGCCATGACAGCATGGCAGAAAAAACAAGGTTAGGATTAGTTACATGAGGAATATTTAGTTATGTTTGTTTTATAGGGCTGATAGGCCACTCCAATCACAACCAACTGAGGATAGGGGACTGTCTCAACTCTGTATTCCTTTCTATCTGCAGTGAATCTTGAGACAGTTTTGCGTATGAGGAAAAATCATGTGGCATAAGCTTTCAGAGGCTGTACCAGTTTGGTATACAAATGGGAGTTTATGTGGTTTGCAAAAATATCTCAATTTTCTTCAGGTGGAAAAAAAATGCATAATTTTCCCCTCACTTTTAGTGTGATAATATTCCCTCAACCAATGATACATATTCATGGCAAAGTTCCAGTAATGTTCCCCATCCAGCTTTTTAAAAAGGTACAGTCATTGTATGATTGATGTTTTGCATGAGCACACATGGTTCTGCAAGCATCTAAAAAAAAATTAGATAGTATGTAAAGACCAATAGTAAAATAATAATATAAATATGAATATGAATAATAAAAAAGCAGCTGAATTGTTTCCAGCCTTAGGGATTTCCTAGAAAAAGGAACTCCTTGCTTATTTGCTTCTTCTATGCTCTGGCTTCAAGCCACCCATCCAGAGTTGTGCTATGGAGCTGTTCTCAAAGGAAGGGAATGAGAAGGGTGTAAATTAAGCTTGATAGATTTCAAATAAAACTTTATTCTGTAACCAAATGATCTGTAGTTATGGTATGGAACTGTGTGTCAACTTGTTTCAAACTTAGAAATAACAAATTGGAACAAACATTTCTAAAAATCCCAAAGGCCAAGGGGCTTTAATTAGCTGCTTCTGTTTTCTGTCACTCTGTACCCTGAGTTCATTAAATATTTAAAGAGCAAGAGATAGGCCTTAAATAATCACTTACTTGCTTACCATCAATATAAATTCACAGCATTGTCCTTCCGGTACAGGGCCAATATATTGGCAAAAGTACAGTAAAGTGCACTAAAAATTTTTTTAAAGCTCTTCTACAGAATTTTCTTTAACGTACATTTACAGCCGAAAATCACAGACAGTGCCACCCATGTTTCTAATTATCCTATTATCCATTAATTATCCCAGTGTATTTGGGATAATTGCTGCCTGAACAGGTGCCATAATTTCAAAAGAGTTTTAAAAAATGGCATTAGAGATGATCTTGCATTCCAGCACAAGACACAACTTTATATTGGACAAAGAGTCACTTGACAACAACCTTACCAAGTTGTACATGGTATGTGTGTGAGTGTCTGCCTTAAAATTAAAGTTGGAGATGTCAGCAGAAGCGTGCACACCCAAAAGCCTGCTACAGCAACTCCTGCTCATCATCTTCTGATCCAGAAGGTCCTTGTCGTACCTCCTCGTACCATTTGTTGGTGAGGCTTTTCATCTGTATGCGCCCGTGATGTAGGTCCTGTGGTAAAGGGAAGATGCAGCCCCTTTAGAAAGTTAGAATTGCAGTCTTAACATTTTTTAGCAAAAATGTTTAAAAATATGTCCACCAAATGTTGAAAATGTAATAAAAAACCAGGCATATATTATCACCTGTGGTAGACATGCCCAAAACCAAAAATTTTTTGGATGAAAATGCATACTTGGTTAGGAAAAATGTTAAGACAGCAGACAGAAAAATATGATAAAGGGAATGTATATTTGATATTACATGTTTTAACAGCAGCAAGAATTGTATTTGCACAACATTGGAAAAGCAAGAAAACACTTGCGGAAGAAGATATAATTAAAAAAATACTGGACTGTGAAGAAATGGACAGATTAACACTGAAGATAAAAGAAAAAGAAGACACAGAATATTTTCAAACTTGGGACTTGTTTTATCAATGGTTGGACAACAGGGGTAGAAATTAGGAATTTAAGAAGTAGTACTATGTAAATGAATTGACCCAGATAGTACGCTGTTCATTAAGCACATATTGTATGTAAAGAGAAAACAAATAAAAAAAATATAAAAAAGAATGTTAGAATTGCACTTCTCCATATGCCTGTGCATAAGGCAGTACAACTTCAATTCCGCAGCACGCACGGATTTAAATAGACCTGATATGCTAGGTTTAAAGGAAGAAAAAAAAATGCTACAAGACAGTACTATGATAACATTAACATGGATAGATGATGAAGAGTGCCCCTGAAAAATCTCAGGTCTTTCTCTCTCCGTGTATATTTTAAAGCGGGAAGTCACAGAGAGAAAAAAAAAATAGAAAAGCCCCTCATTTGAAAATGTCAAATGGTAAGACAAGTTCTTTAGAAGTATGTGAATCTTCACATTGCTTGCTTGGTTTCCTAGAATGCCTGAATAAGATTTTGTCCTTTTGTTACAGCAATGTTACTTGCAAAAACTCCCTGCAAGGTAGCTTAAAGAGATAGGAACAAAGCACATGGTTTGCTTCATGCACAGAGCATATACATATTGTAGGTCAGACTTTTGGTCAGACTGTTCCAAGTGGGTCAGGATACGACGGAAGAAAAAACATTTAGACTATTCCAGATTTCAGCTAAAACAAATCCAGAGAAGTCACAATGGACAAGCAAGGCAAGGCTGGTGCACCTCTCTCCCTACCTTCCTATGTCCTGACCATCAATCTTGTCAGCCTTGCGCCCAACCCTCTGAGCTACCTCTACACTTGAATTCAAGTACAGCATGAGGACCACTCATGAGGAGCAATTCAAGATCTGGGCAACCTAATTTTTCCAACATCTTCCTTCTTTACTGCCCCTCCCTACCTAGCCCTACCGAAGTGCTAGCTGCTGACACCCATCCACCTAGTACACCCGACTCACCCACCCTACCTCTCCTGTCACTGCTTGCCTTTCTTCCTTGCTGCCACTCTACACCCACCTGCCAAACATCCCTGCAACCAAATGCTTTATTTATTTATTTATTCATTCATTCATTCATTCCAAGCTATTTCTGTTGAAGCCTATGCACTCTAGATCTGTGCACAGATGAAACATGAAGTACCAATTTTGACTGGTGTAGGGAAAATTTTGTACATTTCAATGGCCGTAAGATACCTAAAGCAGACTCAGACTGATATGTCTCCTTTAAAAAGGCATTGTATGACCACACATAGTGTTTCAATCATTTCTGTGCACATGCCAGGAAAAAGTATAAATAGAATCTACAAGGAACCACAGGGGCCTTTGTAGCAGAAAACTATGGTTAAATGTTTTGACACAATCCTAGATATTAAATGGCTACCTATTCTGGTGGGTTTGATAATAATTCACCATAATTCCTTGAGTTTCATGAACAAGAAACATATTTGCATGAATTTCCATTGTGCTAAACTGAAATGTTTTTGGTTTAATGTGAATGGGTTGAGGTCCATGGATTTTTAGCTTAGCTGATTTTCAGCCTAATTTTGGTTTAGATTGCAACTGCTGTTTAAGATGACATGTGAATAAAGATATGCATTCTGTTATTCTTGTTGAGGTTTTGTTCATTTGTTTTTTGCTTCCTTTATCAAGATTCCAATCAATTAAAAGGCACAAAGCAAGAAGAGCTCAAGGGAAGGACTATAAGCCAGAAATCTGTCAACAGGCTATGATTACTCTAAGCTATGCTTAGAATAACTCACAGCAGAGGTTGCCTGAACTCTAGCCAGTTAAATGAGGTTTCTATAAAGAGAAAGTCAAAATGTTAGTGCAGGAAACTTATTTTCCTGGGTTATTTTAATACAAATAGCAGTCATTGTATTCTTGGACATCAAATTAGATTGAAAGTCAATCTGCTGTAGGATTTGTTTAAGCTAAACCTACCTCTTGGGTGAGCCGTCTGGTAAAGAAAGGATTCAAATATTTGACATCAAGCCACATAAAGCCTTTGAGATCCTGCCGCTTTATATAATGAGCTTCATATTCTTCCTCTGTCAGTTCAGATAAGTGTTCAGATTCAATGGTGTTTCCCTGAGAGGAGGTGATTATAAGAATAAAAAAAGCAATAGTTTTCTTTGAAGTTTATTTATTTATTTATTGGTTCGATTTATATGCCGCCCTTCTCCAGAGACTCAGGGCGGCTTACAATGTGTTAAGTTCCTTACACCCTACCAATTTATTTACTGTCTTTACATGCAATTCAATAAAATTGTCAATAACTTTATAGTTATGATGGAAAAATTAAGAAAGCCACTACAGAAAAGTAATATTCAAAAATTAAGGATCATAAAAGAAGAAAGAAACCTTGACTTGCATTCAACCATTTTAAGAGCCAATTTCTGACTGCCACGGACTTTAAATGTGTGCTGTTTTATGATTTTGGCAGTTCACATTGCACCAAATGTGATAGAAAAGAAAGCAGCAAAGAACCTGCTAGGAACCAGTATTTCATTAGTCAGGTCATTAACACAAAAATGGCTTGTCTGTTTTGTGACTTTACCTTCCAGCTGCCTTTTGCCTGATCTGAATTTATACCAGCCACCTCAAAACAAAAGGTGGTTGAGGAAAACGCTAGCAGAAAATGTCCACATTGCAAAATGACCAGCGCTGTACATTCTGCAACTGCATTGCAGCACAAAGTAAAAAATTTAAATATTTAAAGGGTCTGGGTGGAATTACATCTGATGATTCCGGCACAAATACACATTTAATATGTAGAAACACTTAAATGAGCCTTATACAGACCGACATGCTTTCATATTACATTACATATTAAATATTACATATTACATATTAAACCTCCAAGTGCTTCAACGACCCTTTAAAAGGATGCAGATTACCAGCGGTCTGCATGGAATATAAATCCTTCCATTCCCCACTATCCTGTCAGAGCTGAAAGAGTTTCTTGGATGAGAAACGAAATGTCTTCAAAAGAAAAAACAAGAAAGTCCAGTTGCCTCCTAAAAAAGCACCTTTGGGATAACCATGACCTGGATGACTGAGAATCTCTACAGACTTTCATATTACAGTTTCAGAGTAACCAATGATTAATTTAACTGGGATTTACTGAAAGACAATACTAAGTGTGTGGTGTGGCATGATAGAGCTCCATTTGATTGCCTGCTAAGAGGACTGAAAAGATAGAACTCAGCTCTTTATTTTTCCAATCTCTACCATGCAGACAGCTGGTCATTTGCATCCTTTTAGAGCAGAGGTCTTCAAACTTGGCAGCTTTAAGACTTGTGGACTTCAACTCCCAGAATTCTCCAGCCAGCTTTGCAAGAATTCTGGGAATTGAAGTCCACAAGTCTTAAAGCTGCCAGGTTTGAAGACCTCTGATCTAGAGTCATTAGGAAGTTGGGTTTAGACTCTAGATAACTCTAAATTCTGGTTTAGTGCCAAAACATCAGAGATGCAGCATATTCCTTGACTGAGCAAAGCAAGAATCAGCTTCCGCCAAAAATGCTGCTTTTCATTTGTTCCTCGCTTACTATAAAACTGGAGAGGAGTTCTCAGAGGCGAAGCAAGAAAAATGAAAAGAAGAAAGAGAGAGAGCAAGGAAACCCAAAGACCCCTCTACAATCATCCTCTCTGCAGGGAATATCTGCCAAATGCCAAGATCTTATTGTTAAGATGTAAGAGGGAACTCGTTTAGCTGAGCTGAATCTACTGATTCTATTTACAATTCTGTATGTGTGGCTATTGCCTTCCCCTGTTTTCCATATACACCTCTTTCCCAATTAATTCCTTTTATAGAGAGAGAGATGCATCTTGATTAGTGTGGATATTTAATGGCATGTATAACATTGCACAAAATTTAGGTACTAATGAAATCACATCAGAAGTAAAGGCGGGCAGCTAATCCTGTGACCCTGGGAAGGAGACAGAAAACAAATTAGTTTTATAAGGGGGTTTCTCATTAAAACTTTCCTCTTAAAAATGTAGCACTGCCTTTGCTTCTAAATTGGCACTAGATTTGTTATATTCTATGTTTCTGATCTTTGGGCACGAAGATCCAAAGCATCTTTCTTTCTATTTGCCTAGAGCTGGGCTGAAGAAATCATGGGTAGAAGATTAGCCCTCCCCATTGGACAGACTAGGCAGTATTGTAGAGTTCTAACTGACTGATGGCTCCCCGTTATTAACTTTTACTGGGAAACTGTTAGAAAGCAAGGTCTGCCAGGGAGGTTTTTAAATGACCCTCTCCTCCCAGTTTGTAAGACTAAGCCATAAACTGTGGTCTATAAGACACAATGGATGGTTTACTCAACATCAGAAACTAACAAGCTATGTAATAACTGTAGATTGTCTGTGAACATTGCAACTGAATGAGTGCAAACATAACGCTAAATAGTACTATTGATGCTACAGAAATAAGTATGAATGAACCTTAAATCTGCAGGCTGATTCTACTCCTTACTTCATATAGTATAACTACAGAATTAGAAGCTCTTGTTCCCGTTTTCAATTAATTGTCATTATGCATTTGGCCCACCATAAAATAATGATTACAGATAGTCCTCAACTTACAACTGTTCATTTCTCAATGGTTTGAAGCTACGGCAGCCTTGGAAAAAAGGACTTACAAGTCATCCTTGAAGTTACAATCATCATGCAACCTCCACAATCACATGATCACAATTCAGATGCTTGGTAACCATTTGTATTTTCAACGGCTGCAGAGTTTTGCAGTCACTGGATCACAATTTGCAACAAGCCAGCTGGCTTCCAATAAACAAAGTCAATTCTGGAAATCAATCCACTTAACGGACTGCTTGATTCACTTAAATACATGATTTGCTTAACAACTACAGTAAACTGGTTGCAAAATTGGATCTGGTCAAAAAAAAAGTTGCTTAATGACTGCATTATTTAGCAACCAAAATCCCAATCCTAATTGCAGTCATAAATCAAGGACTGCTTGTAGCATTACTTATGGATTAGGAATCTAATTATGCTAATAAACCAAAGCTCAAAGATCTTGGGTTAACTTTAACCATGATTTATCTAGCTTCAAAAAGGGACGTGGTGGCTCCAGTGGCTAAGATGCTGAGCTTGTCGATCAAAAGGTCAGCAGTTCAGCGGTTCGAATCCCTAGTGCTACATAATGAGGTGAGCACCCGTTACTTGTCCCAGCTTCTGCTAACCTGGCAGTTTGAAAGCACGTAAAAAATGCAAGTAGAAAAATAGGGACCACCTTTGGTGGGAAGGTAACAGCATTCCATGTGCTTTTGACATTTAGTCATGCCAGCCACATGACCACAGAGACGTCTTCAGATAGCGCTGGCTCTTCGGCTTTGAAACTGAGATGAGTACTACCCTCTAGAGTCGGGAACGACTAGCACATATGTGCAAGGGGAACCTTTACATTTACCTTTATCTAGCTTCAAACATCATGAATAATGCTGATACGTATAATATTTCTATTATAATGTGCATCTTTGGAGTACAGGTATGGAATCAATTTATGAACAGCAAGCTGCATAAAACATATATTTGCATTTAGTTTACAATACAAATTTTCAGTACAAAGTCATTTTCCCAGAATGCTAGCTTGCTCTGAAAATCTTGAGCACTCGGTAAAAAGCAAGAGAGTGTCTCAGGTAAGGCTGATTGTTTCACAGAGCTTCTGCTATGCCAAGATAGGGGCTTTAAATAAGCATAGGCCCCCTTCCCAACTTCTGAATATAGATATGCATTTTTTTTCTTATTTTTGACCTGCTTGGCAGTAATTTACATCTGCAGCTTATCAGTGAAGTACACCCTATCATCCTTTTGAAAAATGTGTGACTCACCATCTGTATGTTATCGTCGTCCACTTAGATGTGGCTCAGTCCAAAAGGAAGCATTGTGTCTAAATTTCAATGGGAAGGTTATTTTACTTAAAGGTTGCAGACTGATCATTACACTGTGCTACGTTCACGACCTGCCTGCTGAAACAGTGCTATGTGTTAGGAAAAAAAGAGAAGCTTCCTGTGCAATAATATTCCGAAGACTCTCCCAGTTCTGTATCCCTTGCCTCTCTTCTGCCTCAATCTACAGAAAGCAGACTCCAAATTGGAGTGCTTTGGATGTACTATGGCTACAATCAAAATCCTCAGCCAATAAGAAGAGTTCTGGTAACTACAGGTAGTCCTTGACATACGACCGTAATGGAGCCTGCCCGTTACAGTTGTAAGTTGTGACAGTTGTAAAATGGGTCGGTCACAGACTCGATTTTACAACTTTTTTTTTTTTTTGCAATAGTCGTTAAATGAACACAGCAGTCATAAAGCAGCTAATATGATTGGTAAGTAAACACTGTGGTAGTTAAGCAAACCCATGGTTCACTATTGGCACAGTTTGGCTCAAAACTAGATGTGCCCGTTTTTGGCAAAATTGTTGTAAAACATTCTCATGTGACCATGGGATGCTGCAAACAGACATAAAGGAAGCTAGGTTACCAAGTACCCAAAATTTGGTCACATGACCATAGAAGGGGCCCGACCATTGCGACCTCAGAACCAGGTCATAGGTAGCCCCAAGGTAAGTTCATCTTAACTTCAAATAGTCACTAAATTGATAGGTTGTAAGTCAAGGATTACCTATATTACCTCTTAATAGTTTTTAAATTGATTTTAAATTGTTTAATTTGGACTTTTTAATTTAATAGTGTATTAATGTTATTGTGTATTTTACTGTTGTGAGCCGCCCTGAGTCCATTGGAGATAGGGCAGCATATAAATCACATTAAACTTAAACTTAAAACTTATATAGAACCTAACGAATTTAAGGTAAGGAAAGGTTTCCCCACACATGTGTGCTAATTGTTTCCCGCCCTAGGGGCGCTGCTTATCTCCGTTTCTAAGCCAAAGAGCCAGCGCTGTCTGAAGATGTCTCCATGGTCATGTGTCCAGCATGATTAAACACCGAAGGTGCACGGAGCGCTGTTACCTTTCCACCAAAGTGGTCCCTATTTTTCTACTTGCATTTTTTATGTGCTTTCGAACTGCTAGGTTGGCAGAAGCTGGGACAAGTAACGGGAGCTCACTCTGTTATGCGGTGCTACGGATTCAAACCACTGAACTGCCGATCTTCTGGTCGACAAGCTCAGCGTCTCAGCCACTGAGCCCCCACGTCCCCATCTAATGAATTTAGAGGATGCCAAATCAGGAAAAGCAAATATACGAGCATGAAGAAAGGCAAAGAGGTTTATGCAAGACTCACATATAAAAGCATCTATCTCATTTAAACACGGAACCCGCGAAGCTCACCATTTTCTCTGTTTTGCTGAGATTGATATCCTTCTTGTTCTTCCGCCGGGCTTTAGAGTCTTCAATGTCAATCAGCCTGATTAAAGGCATTGTTCCTCCACCCAGCAATAAGATTGTGAACAGCACAATGATGATTGTGGTAGTGCCAATCAACTGCCGCTTCTCAATTGGTTCCAGGCCCAAGTGGAGGCTCAAGGCATATGGAATTGCCCCACGTAAGCCTAATTAATGGGGAGGAAAACAGGGAAGCATATAAACATTCCTCAGTCCCTCTAGAAATAATATTCTTCAAAGCTATCAAAATAATGGTTTTTTTGTTTGCTGCTTCAAGATTAAGGGACAAGCATCCTGGTTTAGGAGAGCCTACAAGGAATTGCTTGCAATAAAGTATTTATTGGCACAAAGCTATGTCACTTCTACCTTCATAACCATTCATTCCTCCGCTCTGTCTCATCACCACTGAAATCTGAGGTTGCCTTATACTGCTTTAGACTTTTGTTCCTTCTATACCCAAGATCTATCTTCTCCAGAGATGGCAGTCTTTTTCCTTAATGGCTCTATGTGGCATTCAGCAATGGACTGGAAATAAACTTATATGCAAATATACTGACACATAAATACAGAGATATCTGCCTCCCATTTAAACTAAATTTCCAACTGCCTGCCAAGATGTGTATAAGGTGTCTGCGTGCTGGCCAAAACCTGGGAGGAAATGTATCCTTACACATGCTACCAATGGCTAAGGAAGTACAGGAGAAGAACAATGGTGGGCTTGAGAAAAAGACAACATGTGGCTTTAAGGACAACATGTGGCTTTAAAGATAACACGTGGCTCATGAGTGGTCATATGTCCATGTATGACTTGGGACAAAAGTTCCATCTGAGACCAGCAGAAGTCACTCTCATTAGACTTTTCCCTCCTTGAAATTCCATATTCTTGGGCTCAAAATTCTGAATTCCCAGCTATTTTTGCAAATTTGCTACCTAGGACAATATAGAAATTGTTTTTACATTCCATCTAGATAAGATCATGTGGAGGAAAGCTGAACTACTTCCTATTTTATGCAAAACGGTCAATACAGAATTAGAAATATGCAGTGAAAGATTTATCTCTATCCCAAACATTTTTCTCTCCTGAGCAGTTGGAGATAATTCTTTTGTATAGTGGGAAATAGCAATAAATCAAACAGTCCAAAATAGAGAAAATGAAAGTTTCTTATGCAGAAAATCAGCATATAGTTTTAACACGATCTTATGAAGACCCAGTTACAATTATGACGCTATACAGAACAATAACCAGGAATGAAAACGGCAAGAACTTACCACTAAACCACATGATGAACATCATTTTGGGAGTGATCTTGTGATCACGGAAGAAATTGAGCAAATAAGAGAGGGGGAAAATATTGACTGCTCTACCAAAAAGGACAAGCACCTGTCAAGAAAAGACGCAAAATTGAGCTTTTAATAAGAGAAGTAAAAATGGGAAAATGGGGATTGGGATTCATAACCCCTTTATGGGTCACCTCTATATTAGCATCGAGGGCTAATATAGAAACAGAATGCTAGCTTAGGTAGCCCTTAGGTCGGATTCAATAGGATTTTATGGGTTGAGCTTAGTAACATACCCATTTTTCTTTTCTCAGATGTGTTGCATCCCTTATATACCTATGCTTATCTTTATTTTATTCTTATTTGGAAGGAGAGGGGAAAACCCTCAATTTGCTATCCCAAAGGTGCTTTTTAAAGAGGCAACTAGACTTTCTGGTTTTTCTTTGAAAGATATTTTGCTTCTCATCCAAGAAGCTTCTTCAGCTCTAAAGAAGCAGAAAAACCAGAAGTCCAGTTGCCTCTTGAAAAAGCATCTCTGGGACAACCATGACCTGGATGACTGCAAATCTCCATAGACTATGACAGAAAGCTTAAAGCATGGTTAAGCAATTATTAAGCTAAGGCTCTGGTCCACTGTAAATTCGCTTGACAGCAAATGAAAACAGAAGGTCTTAACCCTCAAACAGACATATATGAGAGTATACTATATAATAGAGGGAAGAAAAGAAGCAAATTCATAGCAATCAGGTTGTATTCAGCTCAAAGAGTACAAGCAATATTTCTTTAATTCTGGGTGTTTTATGCAGATAGTCCTCGACCTACGACCACAATGGAGTTCAAAATTTCTGTTGCTAAGCAAAATAGTTAAGTGAGTTTTGCCCCATTTTATGACCTTTCTTGCCACAGTTGTTCAGCGAATCACTGCAGTTGTTAGGAGTAACAGGGTTGCTGGCTTCCCTATTGACTCAGGACACTGCAACCGTCATAAATATGAGTCAGTTGCCAAATGTCTGAATTTTGATCACATGACCATGGGGATGCTGCAACAATCGTAAGTGTGAAAAATGATCACAAGTCATTTTTTTTTCAGTGCCCTTGTAACTTCAGAAGGTCACTAAACAAAATGTTGTAAATCGAGAACTTGTATTGTGTTTTAAATGCTGTGAGCTGCTCAGGATCATGCCTTTAAGATGGGTGACTATATAAATTGAAACAGATAAATAGAATATGTAGGGTAAATAAATGCAACATCACTTTTATTCATTACTTATGAGTTTACAGTTAATTCCTAACTAGGAAGTCCTGGAAATAAAATGCTAGACCAAATTAATACTAGCCTGATTCTATGAGGTAGTGTTTGCACTCCCCTAGCAATTAGCCTCTTCGTACTGAGACCTTTCTTTCTAACCTTGGCTGTCTCAGAATAAATAATAAATAAAGTGGAAATACAAAGTTGCCTTGTAACTGAGTCAGACCTGAGTTCACATGTCAGGAGAAGAATTTATGCTAGTCTACATTAACCAAAAGTTTAAAAAGAATTTAACTCTTAAGATTATCAAATGCTGTTATAAGGATGCATTCAATTCAATGTCACACAGCTGTAGGGATAACCCCTCCTCTTAAGTTTTAAGATTGCTATGCAAATCAATGATAACAGTGATAACAGTGACCATTATATAGTGTACAAGCCCTTTAATCTCAAAACCCACCACTGTTCACCATGAAGACAGTGTCCAATGGCAAAATAATGTCCTATGCACCCACCGCGTCTTCCAGAAGAACCTAAATCAACTTTTAAGAGTCATTTTCATAGATCCTTTAGAAAGCTATTGTCTACATTGAAGGAAGAGATGGTCTAGTTTGTGTTATTATACATACACATTGCGTTGTTTTTAATACTGTAATCCAGATAGAGTCCAATAAGAAGGCAGCATGCAAATGGTTGCAATAAATTATAAATAAATTGGAGTTCTCTGTGACACATTATATAGCCCTTCTTGCCAGACTGGGATCAGGTGAAACAAATAAACTCTACTATAATTTGATACCTACTATGCACCAGATGACAAAGGACATTTCAAACTTGTGAGGGAAGCTAAAAATTGACAGGCCCAGAAATGCAAAAACACATGTTTCTGAAAAAGAAAAATCAGAAATGAGTATTCACAAAATACCATACTAATCATTCAAGTCCCTATGTTTAATTTTTTAAAACTTCAGTGAAATGTTTGAAGCAGATACAATCTCTTACATTCCTAAATGACAGAAAAAGAAGAAAAAGAAAGAAAAATAAGAAAGAAAAATGTTCAAAATGGCCAGATGCATAACCTGTTTCTTCCAAAAGGAAAAGGACTGACTAGGAGATTCTTCTCTCATTAAATTATTGCTTTCAGAAGGTCTGGGCCTAGTCCAACAGAAACTGAGCTTCTTCAACAAGGTTCTATTAAAACCCAGCATTTGATACATAAGGTTTAGCAATGGAGCACAGACTTTACAAAAATAAAAGACAGAAAAAACACACACACAACATGTAACTGGCTAACAGTGATGATTGGGGCCTGCAACAAAACACAGTATGATTTGTCTTGCCAGCAAATTTTTTTTTCAGGATCTCCTATTTCCCCCAGCTATTTCCTCTTTTCCTCTCTTAACAGATGTTCAATCTTCAGTGCCCCTGCATTTTAAACATCAGAAAGCAACATTCAGATCCAATATTAATTTAGCTTTAATAGCTCAGTGAAATGCCCATGTTCAAAGGACAAGTAGCACCCTTAATGATGGGACAAACCACAAGTCTGTTTCCCACAAGTTCTGGTCATGTGTCTCTGGTAGTATCTATTGTGGCTATTGCTTGCTATTGTGAAAGAACACAGGTAAAGAAAGGATCAGTGAAAATGTGATCTAGTCTAGCAATGCAGGTTTTGTGCTTGCGTTATCTATTTCTGTGTAGCACTGCCTCAGATTCCTGCATCCATGAAATGGTAAGAATTTTTTTTCACCTCTGGCCCTATCATTAATACTATGTTTAGCTTAATATCTTCTAAATAATAAATAATTTTTTTAAAAAATGCCAGCTAAGAAAGGACAGAGTACAGAGAACCACATGAATTTATTGCCTGTAATTTTCCCCCCTTTTCAAATAGCTTCCTGGTACTGTATCTATAATCCTTTAATGGAAATGAAGGCATGTTGCCTCTCTATCATCTAAAAGTACCCTAGAGGCGAGAAAAAAGTCAAAGAAATCCGTTTTGTTATTAATCTTGTGGCAAGACTTAGCCAGAGCTTGGAGGAGAAGAGAGGACAAGATTTACAGCACATTTTATCCCCCTTGTCAGTAAAGGTGACTTTTCTGCTTGGCAGACTCTATATTAGTAGGTCTGTTCTGAGAACTGAGGTGAAGAAATGCTCCCACAGTTAAAGGAACAGCTCTGCTTCCTCTTACCCATAATTCACATTCTGAATGTCTTTGAAATCACAAAAAATATATAAATCAATCAATGATTACAAACGGTAATGTTTAAGGTTGCAATGGTATACATGCTTAGTTGGGAGTCCTATTGGATCAAATGGGGCCTACCAAATGTCTGAGTAGTTATACAAGTCATAATGTAAAATCTCCTTCTGAACCAAAGCAAGGACAGCAATATGCTGCCATCTGCTGAGATAAACTCCGCAACCTTGAAAACTATTTTTAAAATACATTTATCTGGCCAGGAGCATCTGAGACAGGGGTGTCAAACCCGCGGCATGTCATCATGTGACGTATCATGACTTTTTCCCCTTCGCTAAACCGGGGATGGGCATGGCCAGCACGTGATGTATCTGGCCCGCGGGCCGCAAGTTTGACACCCCTGAATTCTGAGACATTAGACTAGATGAGAGAGGAGGAATTTGAGAATGAGTCACCAAGAACTGATAGGCATCTTCCAGAGTGATACTCCCCAGTCTTGCAGGTATTGCTGACACACTTCCCAAATTCTTTCATTATTGACTTGGGCAAGTGCAGGTTTACTATACTTCAGCCACACCTGCAGAATTGCAAGTGTCCCTCAAACATGGACCAGGAAAAAAAATCATTTGATTTTATCCATAAGCTCATGTTAACATACTGCCATTCCTATGCTTTAACACTGTTAATAAAAATAAAACATACTATATTATATGCAATTTATTGGCACATACATTGTTTGATGACTTTATGAGAAAGGGTCAGCTTTTCCTATAAAGTATAGGTAATAATATGAAATCAAATCCAATCAACATGGTCAACAATTTACTGATTGCAATAAAAATATTGATAAATAAAACTGATTGCAATAGGGGTGGGAATTTCCATTGCTTAGCAAGGCAGTTGTTAAGTGAGCTGTGTTTGATTTTACAACCTTTTTTTTTGCCACAGTTGTTAAGTGAATCACTGCATTTGTTAAATAAATCATGGATTGTTAAGCAAACCCAATTTTTCCCATTGACATAGCTTGCAGGAACAAGCTGAGAAAGTCACAAGTGGCAATCAATGACCCCAGGGCGCTGTAGTCATTATACATGCATGCCATTTGCCAAGGGGGCCAATTTATTTTTCCCAAGCACCTGAAAGCAGGACACAAAACAATGGATGGAAACTCATCAAGGAGAGAAGCAACCTGGAATTAAGGAGAAACTTCCTAAAAGTGAGGACAATTAACCAGTGGAACGTCTTGCCTTCAAAAGTTGTGGGTGCTTCATCACTGGAGGTTTTTAAGAGACTGGATAGCCACTTGTCTGAAATGGTATAGGGCAGTGATGGTTAATCTTTTTGGCACCGAGTGCCGAAACTGGAGCACGTGCACCGCAGCCCGGAAGAGAACAGCTGGCCGGTGCACATGCGTACGGCGGCCAGCTGCTCTTCCGGGTTCCGACGCATGCATGCGTACCGCCAACTGGCCAGGACGCATGCGCACAACGGAACCCGGAAGAGCAGCTGGCGACAGCACATGTGCCCATAGAGAGGGCTCTGCATGCCACCTTTGGCACACATGCAATAGGTTTGCTATCACAGGCATAAGGTCTCCTGCTTGATGGAGGGCGCGTAGGGGGGGGGCTGGAGTGGAAGACTTCCAAGGTTCCTTCCAGCTCTATTCTGATTGAAGTACCCACATTTTGATCACATGACTGTGAGGATGCTGCAATGATGCAAAGACCAGTCGTAAGTCCATTTTTTCAGTGCTGTTGCAACTTTGAATGGTCACTAAATGAATGGTAGTTAAGGAACACCTGTAGAGAGAACTCTCAACTCCATTGACCATAGTTCCTGGTCAACTGGCAGGACAAAAATGTGCAATCATAATTGAAACATATTTGATGTTTAAATTAAAGTATTTCACTTATGTAGTAGATTGCCACTGCAAAAACTGGTAGGATAATCAGGAAGCATTTGGAAAAGTCTGCTTTGATAGTAAGAATCCAAGCAATGGACAGCACCTACCACACATGAATGCAACAGTTCTCAGAGTCTGCTGCATTAGGATCTGTGTAACCGGAGAAAGATTATGATGGGTGTAATGAGACATTACGATGCCGGAAAACAAGATAGCCATGATACCTGGAAGAAAAAATTCACCATTAGATATACCTATATATAAAATCAGGTTTTTCCTTAAATTGTTACTAATTGCAATCCAATAAATAATCAGAACTGTTCAAGAATGGGGAAAGTAGTGTTTCAGGTTGAAAGCTCAGGTCTAGCAGCTGCACAATTCAACAACATGAGTTGGACCAGCTGCCCAGAGTAGCTCAACCCTTTCGCTCAACTGCTGAAGGAACAAAAGCACTTAAATATACATATGTAATATTTTCACAGTGTACTTCAAAATTGGGGACAGCTAGCACCTTGGAAGGACTTGGACTGCTTACACAGGAATTTTCTATTTGCACTGGGAGTAAGTGCTTTCACTTAAGTCTGATGAATATCGCTACTCTATGTGAAATATCAAATCTATATTTTTCTACTGTAAATAAAGACCCAACCCTAAAAATTACAAAATAATTACCCTCCCAATTACATAATTCCAGTTATCAGAAAAGCAATATAGTATATATAAAGGACCCAAAATATCACCACACTTTGAAAGTTGTTTCCATTAGGCCAACAATAGGCAAACAAATACAAGTTAACAGAATCAAGGAGAATAGACAAACTGAGGCTTAACCATAGATTATAGATATTGGTTTCATCATAAACAACATTCTCATTCTTTCAATATGGAGAATGTGGTAATGTTTGCAGGAAAATAATGCTAGGATTGAAAAGGCCTCTTTGCGACCAATCTTCCTCTCGCATCTATTGAATTTCAGCTTCTGAAGAAGACTATATTCTCCTCTTCCAAATTATACTCACACTCCCATATGACTAAGGGCTACAACTACTTACTATTACTCTAACATACTAAATAATTGGATCTTTCTGATACAGTAGAGCTTAATAGTTCAGGAAACCTTTAGAATTTTCAATATGTAGGAGATCTGATGCACTGGTTAGAATGCAGTATTGCAGGCTAATTCTGCCCACAATCTGGAGTTCAATTCTCATAGGCTCAAGGTTGACTCAGCCTTCTACCCTTCTGAGGTCGGCAAAATGAGGACCCAGATATTGGGGGGCAATAGGCTGACATTGTAAACTGCTCAGAGAGTGCAGTAGAGCATATATATAAGAATGTATATAAGCCTAAGTGCTATTGCTATAAAAATAAAACCTGAAAGATGATCTGTTCTCCACACAAGTCCTAAAACTAGATAGAGAACCCAATTAAACAAATAATTCAAAAACATTATACTTGATTTATTGAGGGAATTGATCCAAAGCTACTACTTCATTTCACATGCACTTCCTATATATTCTGTTCAGGGCTAGAAGAAATTATTCAAGCTACTCCAATGCTGCAGAGACTGAATGGAGATTCCATGGAACCAGTATCATATGGATCATACTACCAGATCCCAACTTGATGTCATTTGACACTGCTGTTTGTTTATTCCCAGAATACAAAAACAAACTTCATGCATAGAAAATGAAGAAGTCGTATTTGATATTATACCAAAAAAGAGAGATGGCAAAGCTGCTATAAAATGAGAATACAACTGTGATCTGATAACAGCTGACAGATTCAGTGAACCTCAAATTCATCATAATCCTTTTAGTTGCTGCATTACATAATTCATTTTATCCAATTCAAATCTAATATTCCATTGAATGATTATGATCCTATTAGTGAAAGTGCTCCAGAATTTTAATTACTAGTTCCATTACAATTCCCAAGATGTTATTTGGAATGAAACGGCTATAAAAAAACAAAAAACCAAGCGTTGGCTCTCCAGAGGTTACTTCAGGACTAGAGAACAGCTGTAAAATCCACTCTGAGTTGCATACGCAAAGTTGCAAGTGCTATCATAATTGGACAGAAGTGGTTATAGCTATCAAAACAGATGCTTTCTGATAAAATCAGCAGGCATACAAATATGTTTAGACTTTACAGTTGTCAGTAAGTGCCCATGGTGTTTCTTAACCAATGATACAGCAACAACTAGAAAAACAGGGGACAAACAGCTACTTGCAGGACCACATATATTTCACTCTGTGAGATGTTTGAGATTAATGATAGGCACAGTGTACTTATGGAGAGGCGTATTTGGGACCAAATTCTCTCTGCACCTGCAGATATATAAGGCGGCTTTAAATCATAAACACATAGTTTAAAATCTTGCTCTTTACAAGATATCATAGTAAATCTCTTTTGACTGAGGCCAAATCACAACATCAAAGGTTTACTTTGTAGAAATGGTCTATTATCCCAGACTCTAACATAACGTACAGTGTAGATTACTAAAATAACCACACTAGCTACTTAATTTAGCATTCTGTGCAAAAGAGGTTGTTTCTGATTATGAGAAAACTTTGGTCCTTCAAAATTGTTATCGTCTTCTTCCTTTTCTCCTCTTCCAGTCCAAGCAATTTGATATACTTTCCAGATCACTTTTCTTCTTTTCTGGTTCAAGCAATTTGATATACTGCTAGTGTATCCAATTAAAATAATTACACATTTTTCTATCTACATACATTACTGAAGTAAACATTCCAACTCCAAAAATACAAAAATCCCAACCAAATAAAGTGCAGTGAAAAAGATTTATGTACCTGGATTCTCACTAACATTCAGGCTTCGTCTTCCTTTAATGTACGACTGAACAGTATCTTTAAATACAAGCTTAGTACAATTTTATTTTAGCTTAGTTTCCAGGCTTTTATGCTGCTTCAATTGCAAACTGGCTCTGAGCAGCTTACATGCCTGAGTTCAATAATTAAGATTAAAAACAACTTTTCTCTGCAGGAAGGACAAATTCAACACATTAGATCCCAGGTGTACCTGTAAAAGCGAAGTCTTAACTGTTTTACGGAACCGCAAAGGTCAGTGTCAATTCAATCTCTAGGGCAGTGGTGGGATTCAACCGGTCTAACAACCGGTTCGCTGAGCGTGCACTTGTTCTAACTGTCAGGAAATTTCTCCTTAGTTCTAGGTTGCTTCTCTCTTTGATTAGTTTCCACCCATTGCTTCTGGTACTGCCCTCAGGTGCTTTGGAGAATAGCGTGACTCCCTCTTCTTTGGGGCAGCCCCTGAGATATTGGAACACTGCTATCATGTCACCCCTGGTCCTTCTTTTCATTAAACTAGACATGCCCAGTTCCAGCAACCGTTCTTTATATGTTTCAGCTTCCAGTCCCCTTTGTTGCTCTTCTCTGCACTCTTTCTAGAGTCTCCACATCTTTTTCACATTGTGCCGACCAAAACTGGATGCAGTATTCCAAGTGTGGCCTTACCAAGGCATTATAAAGTGGTATTAACACTTCACGTAATCTTGATTCTATCCTTCTATTTATGAAGCCTAGAACTGTGTTGGCTTTTTTGGCAGCTGCTGCACATTGCTGGCTCATATTTAAATGGTTGTCCACTAGGACTCCAAGATCCCTCTCACAGTTACTACTATTGAGCGAGGTACCACATATACTGTACCTGTGCATTTTGTTTTTCTTGCCTAAGCATAGAACCTTACTTTTTTCACCACTGAATTTCATTTTGTTAGATAGTGCCCAATGTTCAAGTCTGTCAAGATCCTTCTGTATCTTAAGCTTATCTTCCGGAGTGTTGGCTATTCCTACTAGCTTGGTTTCATCTGCAAATTTGATGTGTTCCCCATCTATCCCCTCGTCCAAACCATTGATGAAGATGTTGAAGAGTACTGGGCATAAAACAGAGCCTTGGAGTACCCCACTGCATACTTCCCTCCATGTAGATGCAGTTCCATTGAGGACTGCATGTTGACTGCGGTTGGTCAGCCAGTTACGAATCCATCAGATGCTGTCTAACCCACATTTTTCTATTTTATTTAGTAGTAGGTTATGGTCTACTTTATCAAATGCCTTACTGAAGTCCAAGTAAATGAATATATATATATAACTTCAGGGGAAATTGTTTTGCAACTTACCTGAGAGAGAAATTCCTTCTGCAAGTCCATAAGGAAGATATGCAAAGATAATCATCATTCCAAACTCAAGGGAAGGAGTTTTTCGTAAATCAATATGTTTCAGTACGTTAATTACAAACGGTTAAGTAAAATAAGAAGATGAAATGGAAAAGTCAGATAATTAGGAAGTTCTCATTTGTCATTAGAGCCCCATTAGAAAGCTTAGCATTTCATGTTGAATCATACAGTGCAATTATTTTTCTTCATACTGTTTAGCTGATGGACTTTTTCAAGTGGAATAAGGGAAGCTACCAGGTTATGGTGCTCTGTGCAACACAGAATTATTTTTAGAGGATTTTTAAAACTTCTAACAAAGTGCATAGAAAAAAGATTTTATTATAAGAGGGCCTTTAACTTTATAATATTAGGTATAATTAGCTTTATACCTAATAATTATATTTAAGAACTCACTTGAAAATAATGTTGTAGTTGTTAAACTTCTTAAATTTTGCAGACTTCAACAAAGTTTAAATATCCTTACATACAACTGTAACTCTCAGTATATGAGATGCTGAAAATATAATTAACAGTGATCATTTTCTAACAGATTAAGGTTCTAATGGCAGATGGGTAAGTGTGTCTGGACTACATATTTTTTAAGATAGAAAACAATTCCACAGTGAGTTTCTTTGTACTCTATATATGTGGTTTTAACTTATTTGAAAGCATTATCTAAACACTTCAATGGAATGAAAGTCAACATTAATTTAAATATCTAAAGACAACAGGTTGTCTGATCCTGCTGTGATCTAAAATCTTGATAATACATGAATGTAATTTCTCACACAAATTTCTAGTTACCAATTTGAGATAACACATAACACCTTTTGTGTTTTAACAAAAAGTTAAAGTTCTAATCTGAGATAAAACACAAAACACAAATAGCTAGAACAAGCTATGATCTCAGAACACATAAAAATGCTGACAACCACCATCAAGATTAAACCCTTAACAGAAGCTAGAAAAAGGAAAATAAAACTCCAAACCAAAATGTTCAAGGTGAACCCTAGAAGCAAAGAGGTACCTGAACAGGTTATAAAAATGTCCAGTTACTCACTATCTACCACATCACACAAGATCGCACAAAAAGGCCTCAACTTTAACATAAATTATGCTGGTTGATTAGAATTTGAAGCCTTAGAAGCACCATTTAAAACCACAGGTCTTGCCACAGAGACCTGACAAAACGTAAGGTAGACAATTAGACCACCATCAAACAAAGAATCAGAACCAACTCAAAGTAGAGGACAGAGCAGCCCTCAAAAAAACCTAAAGAAGGACCCAAAGGTGCTTTTTCAAAAGGTAACTGGACTTTGTGGTTTGTCTTTGAAGATGCTTCACTTCTCATCCAAGAAGCTTCTTCAGCTCTGACTGGATGGTGGGGAATGGAAGGATCTGACCATCCAGTCAGAGCTGAAAAAGCTTCTTGGATGAGAAGTGAAACGTTTAAAAAAAAAAAAAATAGAAAGTCCAGTTGCCTCTTGAAAAAGCACCTTTGGGACAACCATGACCTAGATGACTGAGAATCTCCATAGACATCTAAAGAAGGACCAAACCATCATCCTCTCAGCAACAAAAGTTATAATGGTCAGATCACAATACATACAAAAAACCAAATTACTGGAAGTCAGAAACCTACATACCAATAAACACCAACCCAGTACAGGCAGTAGATAACCTAATCAAGAGAACTCTAAATACTCCAACCAAGGTCAATCAGAAAAAAAGAACAGTGGATGAAAAGCTCTCATATTCCTACACTTCTATGGACACCCCAAAATATACAAGACTGAATACTTCTTTGTCCAATTGTATCATTTACCAGGGACTCCAAAATACAATATAGCTAAAGAGCTTACAAAAAAAGTTTGGAAGTTCGTAGAGGGGAGCAAATATTCTATCAAGCCACCACAGTGCCTACAGAAAATCAAAGACATAAAAATAGAAGATGAAATTGTGATTTCATTCAATGTCACAGCACTTTTTATATCTGTAGACAAAGAACAAGTGAAAGAATCCATGGCAGCAGACAAGACATTCAATCTAATCAAATATGCAAATATCAAAATACAGAGAATCATGGCATTCATCAATCTCTGCCTCACTCTCTATTTTCAATTATTGGAGAAATATATCATCAAATTAGAGGAACACCTTATATACAGAAAAGTGGAAGGTCTTACAAATACAAACAATGGAAGAATGGATGATTAAACTGAGGGATTGGCGGGAATGATGAAATTGACAGCTTTGATTACAGAAAAAGACTTCGACCAATTTTATTTTTACCAGGAAATCACTTTTGGACTTTTTGAGGAAAAAGATGAAAGAAATTAAATTGCGATTTTGGAAATAGAACATTAGAATTATATATTAGAATCACATAGCAGTACAGAAATAATGTTTGACTGTTGTTAATTTTAGAGTAAGAGTTTGAAGTATTCTTCATCTATATCTGTATCAAAAAAAGTTGGAAGTCATTCTTTTTCTATTGTCTTTATTTTTTCATTCCTTTTTGTTTCTGCACTTTTTTCTTTTAAAACTTTCCTTTTAATTATTTTTCTTTTTGCCTGTCTATTTTTACTATTTTTAAAAACCTCAATCTATATTATGTATATGCATATGCATATGTATATATTATATATATACAAAAAAGAAGAGCTGTGTAAGAACATTATTTAGATGATCACAAACGCACTGCAGCAATTCAGAACACCAGAAAAATTTAAACAGACTGCCTATACAACTTCCAACAAACAGGATAACCTCACAACTTTATAAAAAATTGGTTGATGACTCAACTCACAACAAACTCAAGCTATGAAATGCTTAATACTATCATACATCAAAAGCATCTCAGAAACAACAGACTATCGCAACCACATGGCATCACATAGCGATAACAATAGCATTTAGACTTATATACTGCCCCACAGTGCTTTACAGCACTCTCTGGGTGGTTTACAATGTCAGCTTCGTTTACGTATTGCCCCCAACAATCTGGGTCCTCATTTACCGATCTTGGCAAGATGGAAGGCTGAGTCAAACTTGAACCCTATCCAGATCGAACTCCAGGCTGTGGGCAGAATTTGTCTCAAAGATTGCACTTAACCACTGCGCCACCAGGGCTCTTTATCACATAGCTAACTATGTGACACCAACTAAAACCCTCCAAAACATTTGAAGTAACCCAAGACCCAGTAACCCAAGAAGTAAAAACAGGAGCAATCTACAACTACAGTATAAGGACTGTAACAATCTATGTATGTAACAAGCTGAAAACTAGCAAAGTGCATCCATGAATGGTAACTAAGAGTCAGAAGACATGATGAAAACTCCATAATTTCACAACACATGGGTAGACCTAACCATAGTTTCAACTCAAAAACTGTGAGCATCCTAGACCAAGCTAAATCCAAAACAGCTTGCCAGTCAGACAAATCAGCCAACAGGTTCATAAAGATAAATAAAGTTTACATGCCATTCAAAAGAAACAATAAAAAAGCTAAACAAGAAACAAAAGAACAAAGTAATCACCACCCACATAAAACGGGATTAGCAAAATTAACACTAGACAAACAATGGATCAATAATCAATACCCTAAACCAAGAAACTCCAACTCAGACAAACAATCAAGCAGTAAACAAATCAAGTTACTACCAAGGAAAAAAACAACATGCCCACCAACTCTGATAGGGCAAGCTATTGTATATAGCAATAGCACTTAGACTTATATACCGCTTCACAATGCTTTAAAGCCCTCTCTTTAAAGTGGTTTACAGAGTCAGCATATTGCCCCCAACAATCTTAGTTCTCATTTTACCGACCTCGGAAGGATGAACGCTGAGTCAACCTTGAGCCTGTTGAGATTCAAACTGCCAAATTGCAGGCAGTCAGCAGTCAGCAGAAGTAGCCTGCAGTACTGCATTCTAACCACTGTGCCACCAGAGCTCATATAAACAGAGCAAACCCCATTTCTTTCTAGCAGTGAAGATGTTATCTAGTTCGGTAATGAAATATCTGCAAGAAAACAACAAAATTCAGAGAACATCAAGGTTTACACAGTTCAACCCTGAGCTACATATAAATATTCTTTAGATAACAAGACAATGTTATCTATTGAATCCACAGAAATAAAAATGTTTTTTACTGGCTTATCATGAAAAAAAAAAATAAAACTCACCAAATTGTCCATTGCATCCCTATTTGCTCTCAACCAACCTCCCAATGTGAGATACTCTGTTCCAAATGTTCCAGATGTCAACTATTACAATCTTTGACTAAGGGCAATGGTGGTTAAAAGGGGAGCTGGACTGTAGTCTAAACTATTTGGAACTGTCCAATTAAGGCTTTCCTTTGTTAGACATAATGCATTTTGTCTAATCGATGGAATGCATAAAGCACTAAAATGACCAAAAATAAACATGAATTTCTCATAGGCACAGTCCAGCCATAGCAAATAACTTTACGTCTACTACTATTTAATACTCCTGCTGGTCAGTTATGTGGAATTTGGACTTATATAACATTACTGGAGGCTTTCTTTAATAAATGTAAAAACAACAAAGATAATTGAGAGTATAATTAAATGGGAGGTGATGAAGCTGAAGTCTGCCTCAATCTTTGATGCCTACAAGAGAAATCCTGAGAAGTGACATAAAAGTCTTCATGGCCTCAAGCATATCATAGCCTAATAGTTTTCTGTCAATTTTCAGCTGCTAGTCAGAAAAAACGGAAAAGAATTCATTGCTTAAAAGGCTAAGCAATAATAGGTTGAATCTTCATGAGAAGATGTCCAATGTCCTTAATATACTAAGTAGCCAGATTGTGGCTCAACAGAGAAGTATTAACATTAATCATTCACCAAATAATAAAAGACTGATAGGAAGGCATGTTCAGTGACAAAAATAAATCTGAACAATGAGAACAGTTCACGATACAACCAATTAAAGCAGTGGTTCTCAACCTTTTCTTTGCCAGGGACCCTCTTTAAATACCCTTTGTGGCCTCAGACTATGGCCATGACCCCACCCCCCCCTGCAAGAATTAACTCAAGATTTAAATCATAACATTTCTTCAAACCTCTAGGGACCCCCTGTGACAACATCCCTCCCCTCCCGGGGCCCGCAGATCACAGGTTGAGAAACACTGACCTAGAGACATTGTGGGCTTCCTTTTACTTTATGTGACGCTGAGGGATATTTTAGTGTCAATGAATGACCCAGCCAAACTCTGTGATTCTATTATTTTCTATGTTTTCATACTGCTTAGCAATTGTCATAATAAAGATTACTCTTGTGTTGCTGGTGCTGTTATTATTATTCCTGTGTTCCTACAATTCCCCTTCCAATCTACACTGTAGAAGTAATGTAAGTTTTGTTACTTATCACTAGCATCTTAACCATTATCAACTCTTTGCACACAAAATAACTAAATTAAACATATATTTCAACAACAACAAAAGAATTATGGAATTCTATTGTTTATAGGAAAAGAAAAACTCAGACCATAATGGAACAATGCTTTACTTGACCAGATACTACTGGAACAGGAGAAAAGATGAAATATACAGTACATATTATAACAGAAAATCAATTCAAGCTGCTATGAAAAATCAGACCCTTTGTCTGACATAAATTCTACACTAAAGGAGCCAGGCCAATTAGCCGAATAGACTAATTAGACTAGGATAATTTCAGGATTCAATTCTAAAGCTGCCAACATGAAAATAAAAGCAGATATCTAATGCATTTGAAAACTGAAATATGCACTAACATGTTATTGAAAATATAATGACTGTACTAAAACTACAGCTGGAAAATCATATATTAGTCTCATCCATTAGCATGGTGTTTCTCAACCTTGACAACTAGAAGATGGGTGGACTTCAACTCCCAGAATTCCCCAGCCAGCAACACTGCATCAGCATGAATGATGAGTTATTATAGAGCAACTTGGGCCTTAATGAAAGTCTTGTACAAATATAAGTTTCATGCAAATCTGAAATTGTTACTAGCTAACACTTGCTATGAAAAATGTTATGTTTTAAAAGAATAATCATCTTCAGAAATATTTATTTTATCTAAAAGCAAAGGATATTAATGCAGAAATAAGACCAGTCAGTGTCCCCAGTGCTGCAGAACCAAAGAACATCTTCAGAAAGTAAGCCAGTGCTTGTAAAAAGGTTTGCCATCCACTTACATCAGATGTATGTTCTCTCGTCAAACCTTCTGCTGTACTGAGAATGATAATAAAAAAACAAAGACAACCAAAGGAATTAGAATCTTAAGGCTGGGATATGGAATGCAGAATCCATAATTACTTTATTTTTGGTGTTATTGTTGAAATTGCTCTTAAAATGCTTTCACTGTAATATGTCTAGGGGAATGACAAAAGACATTCACTCAAGTCAAGATGCACTATTTTTCAAAGGGAAACACAGCTGTTCTAAAGATCTGGATGCCTGCACTTGCTTTTTCTATTATTATTAACAGTGGTACAAAATAAGCCAGGAGGGTACCTACTTACAGCAAAAGAAATGAAATCCTTCTAACAGATCTTTCACAGACAAAGAAAAAAGGCAGAAGGTACAATATTACAGAATCGAAAATAAGATGCTTGCTCTTCTGATCCTCAAGCAAATGAGAAAATGGGAGGGAAATAAGCTTATATTTGGAAGGAGGGAGGGAGGGAGGGAGGGAGGGAAGGAAGGAAGGAAGGAAGGAAGGAAGGAAGGAAGGAAAGAAATGAATGAATATACTTCATTAAAGTACTTCCAGATCCTAATATGACTAAGATGGGAAGAATTAGATCCTTGACAAATCAGACAATATTAATATGTATGCGTGGAAGCCATCTATAGAAAGCTTTTAAAAATAAATAAAATATAATGATATCCTTAGGCACAGCATCCAATTAATCAAGAATATTTACTTTCACCTACATGACTTTCAAACCAAGCAATCAGAAAGTACCCATTTTGCCCAACATATCCTACTGATTTATTAAAAACTGAGCTTTGTAAACATCTACAAAATAACTCCATTTCTGGTCTCAAACCCAGAAACTAATACTGAAACAATTATAAGCCATGAAAGCAGAATGAATTTACACACCAGCTTCTCATAGAATTTTTAAAAGGAATTCATAAAGACTATAGTGCTGAAGAATGTCCCCAACACAAATTCCTGCCCTTATGTGTAATTAAATATAGGTTGTACTTCTGTAGCTCCTAAGAGAAAGAATAATTGGGCTGTTTTATATGAGAGTGGGTGGCAAGTATCAATGTGACAATTAAGGAGGAGTGATGGTTAAAAAGCATGCTAACCAAAAGAGCATAAGTGCATATTATGCATGTTTACTGCATTAAAATAAGTAGTGTTTAAAGAATCACATTACTCTTTGTCTAAATGAGCATTAATTTCAAAAGATTTTTTTTTGTTCCATATACATGAATGTACTTACTTTGTCAGGACAATTGAGACTGCATCATTGAGAATGCTTTCTCCAAAGACCAGCATGTTAAGCACAGGGTCCACATTAAGAGCATTAAAGATAGCAATAGTAGCTACTGGATCAACAGCAGAGATCAAGGAGCCAAAGGCAAAACTGTTAGGAAATACAATAAATACATTAACATAATGTCTGAATTATTAAATGCTATTGAGGTTTGAGGCTTACTCAGCAAGCCTGAAATGCATCAATGGATTTAAATCATCATTATCCTGGACTGCATTAATGTTTTTTCTCATTTTAACAGAAGATGAATGTAAACTAACAATTATCAACAAGAAAAATAAAAATAGCATATTTTTTCCAAATATTTAAAATCAACCTGCTCAATGGCATATATTCATTATAGCAATCTAAATTTTTAATTTAATATTTATTATTAACAGGTTGCCTTCTTTTCTGGTTTAACAGAACATCCCAGACATCTTTTGAGAACTTTTATCATCACATGTATCCCTTCTATTTAAGCATAACATTTAAACAAACAATACACAACATAATATATAATTACAATGGTATCTGTCTAATCATTGCTGTTAATTTGTCAGATCCTTAAAATATAGAGGTTTGCTCTCTTCTAGTAATCTTTCAGACATTCTCTAGGATTTTTCAAAACTAATAAAGATTTAGACATGTGATGCAAGTCATCTGGTGCTGTATATTAAAATTAAGAAACAATGACCTCTTCTTTATATTTAAAAGGCTGAAGGCACATTGCTATGCCATATCCTCTTTGATTCACATTTCCATCTACCCTACTTAAACCCTAGTTAAGCATTATATCATCACTGAACTTAACATTGGCCACAAGTATAGCAACCAGCATCCTGTCTAACTATACTGCTCGATAGATAAATGCAGTCATTGTGTTCACGGCAGCAGCTTGAAGACTCTTACAAACACACGAAGATTATATAGATTTCTCTCAAAACTTACCTGTCAGTCATATTCAGTTTATAAATTACATCAGCCTAGAAAAATTGAGAAAAACAGAAACATCTTATAAATGTTAATTCTCCTCTTTTCCATCTATTAAGAAACTAGCGTATTTGCTCAAGGATCACAAAGTGAGTTTGCTTGTTTGAGTTTACAGATGGATTCTGTGTTTTCAAAAATGAGGAAACTGTCAGATTTACTTCCCATGAAAATTTTCTTGGTACGTAAATCTTCCATTCTCACCAAGGTATTGCCCTGATGTGGATTTTTGTATGTTTCAAGAAAAGCTGCCTTTTGGTCTCCCTCAAGAGCCTGGCGTTCAATAAAGCTGTGGTGAGCATTCCTATGACCTAACTCAGTGATGTTAACCTTTTTGCCGTTGCGTGCCAAAAGCAGGGAGAATGCGGGGGGGTTGCACACGCATGTGCCCACACCATAATTCAATGTGCCCCGCCCCCTGTGCATGCATGCACAACCCCCCGCGCTCCCCCCACTTTTGGCACACGATGGCACGGTGGGCACGGTAGGTCTGTTTTTCGCCCTCCCCAGGCTCCCCAGGCTTTCTAGGAGCCTGGGGGGGTGAAAATGGCCTCCTCCCCCCCGGAGGCCCTCCAAAGGCAGGAAACGGCGTTTCTCAACTTCTGGTGGGACCGGAAGGCCCAAAAATCAGTTGTCTGGCACGTGCATGCGCGCTGGAGCTAAGCTAGGGCAACGCTCACGTGCCCACAGATATGGCTCCGTGTGCCACCCGTGGCACGCATGCCATAGGTTCACCATCATGGACCTAACTAATATAGTATGCTGTCATCAAGAAAGGCTGAATTTCTCATAAAATATTGAAGATACTCATGCATTCAGCATGAAATGCAAAAAATCCTAAAGTTATTAATTTATAGCTCAATGAAGCACATATCTGCTCATTGCAGCAATTTCATTTTTATAAGATCAGATATGGAATTAAAGAATGGAATTAAATCATTGTAATTTATGGCCAGACCAACAAATAGTGCTTTCAGCACATCATGTCATCTTCAGTCAGAACTGAAGAAGTTTCTTGGATGAAAAGTGAAACGTCTTCAAGGAAAAACAAAGTCCAGCTACCTTTTGAAAAAGCACCAAACTGCCAAGTCTGAATATCGAAATTTAAAGATTATGGAATTAACCAGTTATGGTGGTCCCAGTGGTTATTAACACACTGGGTGCCATTTCCAAAAATCTTAGACAATACTTAGAATTTCCATCTGTCAATTACAAAAGGCCACACAGCTTGCATCTGCAAATATATTACATTGGTACATTACAATACCCTAAGTTCTTGAGAAGAACTTGATGCATATAAAGGCCAACACAGCTAAAGTACTGGCAGCTATGATTTCACATTGTTCTGAACAGATAATCATAATTTTTAAAATTTATATGCCACCTGACACTCAGCAATTATAAGTGGAGGGGACAATTTAAATTTAATTACAATATGTCTACAAAACAGTAGCAATAAGCATACAGAGTTAAAACATGAAGCATAAACTAATGAAATGAATGAGCGAAATGAAAACGAAGATCAGAGTCATACTTGAAACAATAGCAAGATGATGTAGGATCCTTTACAAACTTACACTACTTTTCTAAGAAGACTTCTCCAACTGCAGGCCATCAAAGTAGTTATCACTCTGATGACAAAAGTGCTTATAGAATGAAGTTTCAGTAATAGATTTCAAGAGACAGGTGTATTTGTGCAAAGAAACCAATCTTTTAGCAACATCTTTCCATTTAAGATAATCAATCTGAGGCCTGCCTGGGGCAATTATTTTGTTTCATTTTTTAAACTGCTATTTTCTTCTTTTTAAATAATTACAGCTTTCTTTTAGCTAACCAGAATTTAATTGATCAGAATTCCATATAGAATTTGAATACATATCACAGCTCACTTTTCTGAACTTCTGTATGTGGACTTCAGTTCCCAAAATTCTCCAGCCTGACTGGCCATAGATGAGAATTCTGGGAATTGAAATCTACACACCTGGTACTTGTCAAGGTTGGAAAATACTGCTTTCAGAGCAGACTTTGAATAAATAGATATTAAAGGGGGGGATCGTTAAATATAAAAACCATTTCTAGGTGATTCTGTCCATCATATGTTCAAAGGCTGGAAGCAGTAGTCTCAATTGCAGATCCTAATCTCAGCTGAACTGTAGCTCCCAATAGTCCTAGCCAACATGGCCAAAGTTGAGAAATGCTGTGACTTTGAAGTCAGCAATGTCTGGTTAGTCATACTAGTCCCCAGTATTGAACTATCCTCCAAGTGACATGCAGTTCCCAAAATTTTAAGTCCAACCACAATATTACACTAGACACTATCTTTTAATGAGACAAAAAGGACAAAATCTTGTGGGGAGGGGAGTCATATTATCTGCATTTAATTGATTTTACTAAATATGCAGTACAAATTAAATTTAGCTTTTGTGCTAGTCTTGTCTCTTTTCTTGTCCTGGCTCTTCCCACTTTTTAAGAATGTAGCTCTTACCTCTGAAAAGCTCTACACCTCTGGACTAGATTATTTTGCAGGTCCTTTCCAACTCTTACCTTTCTAAAATATTACACGAACTCTCAGCACAAACAGTCCTATCTTAAATTTAAGTGCCTTCTTATTTACTACAAATACTAAATGCTGGTGCTATCACCTTGCTTTGCATTATGTTTGATAAAGATACAGTCTCTGCTATGGCAGTAATTAATTACCTGGGAGTTCCCCAGTGAGGATACTCTGCCTTTCCTCTGCTGCTCTGGGATTTAATTAAAACCATCTGAAAGTGAGACTAGAATACCTGCTTTAGCTAGGGAAACAATTACTGTTGTTTCCTTATGTAAAATGCCAGTAACCTGAAAAGCAAAATGATGTCTATGACATAGAAGATCCAAGGGAAGGATGGTAAATAACTCTGGGAAGTCAATTTCAGATTTTGAATAGCCAAAGAAGAGAATATGTCATTGGTTAGATATATGCAAGATTCTGAAATGCAGTATTTCCAGGAAACTGTAAAAAGCAAATATCGTTGTGTCAAGCACTACTTGACTGATTGATTGTGCCTTCAAGTTAGTCTTGACTCCTGACAACCACCTACATTCTGCAGTTTTCTTGGCAAAATTGTAACAATCTTGTAAATCTTACTGTAAATAATCTCACTTAACAATCTCACTGTAATAGCATTACCAAAAAGGCATTAAGAGTTGTTAACCTAATTTTGCAAAGCTTCTTCTCCGGTAACATTGTACTGCAAACTAGGACATACAAAACCTTTGCCAGACCAATTCTTGAATACAGCTCATCCACCTGGAATCCACACTGTATATTGGACATTAATACAATTGAGTGGGTCCAGAGGTATTTCATGAGAAGAGTACTCCACTCCTCTGCTCACAATAGAATCCCTTATGCCACCAGGCTTGAAATTTTGGGCTTTGACAACCTGGAACTATGCCGCCTACGGTCTGACCTAAGCATAGTACACAAAATTGTCTGCTACAATATCCTACTTGTCAATGACTACTTCAGCTTCAACCTCAATAATACACAGGCAAACAATAGATACAAACTCAAGGTAAACCGCTCCAAACTTAATTGCAGAAAATACGACTTCAGCAACAGAGTGGTCAACGCCTGGAATGCTCTACCTGACTCTGTTGTTACATCCTCAAACCCCCACAGCTTCAACCTTAAACTGTTTATTGTGGACTTCACCCCATTCCTAAGAGGTCCGTAAAGGGGGTGTGCATAAGCGCAGCAGCATGCCTACCGTCCCTGTCCTACTATCCCCATTTATTTGTACTCATTTCCTATGTTCATGTTCATGTCCATGTTTATACTTATACCTGTTATCTTGTACATGTTTGACAAACTAAATAAATACAAATAAAATAAATAAGATTTTGAAAATGGTTTGCCACAGCCTTCTTCCTAGGACAGAGAGAAAAAGGCTGGTCCCTAGGTCATCCAGCTGGCTTCATCCATAAAGCATGACTAGAACTCCCAATATCTCGTTTCCCAGCCTGGTGCTTTAACTACTACATCAAACTGGCTCTCAAAACATTGCTTTGATCTAAAAATAATTGTATTTTATTATTAGCTTTTGCATAAGTTTAAGCTCTTATGAAGGGATTCTCCAATAAAAATACCATTACAAAAGTGTACATTAGAAGAAAAATGCAAAAAATTGAGATTTTCATAAGGGTAACATTAAAAATGCATTAGGTAAAGTTGTTTGCAAAGAATATGTGTGCTAGGAAATCTGTATACAAAATCCATACAGGAAATTTTCAGTTCCAACACTATGTGACTAGACTTCCTAACCATACAAAAGTGTTTCTCTTTCTTTTCCATTCCCTGATTCCATGTTGCCTAATCTGCTCTAGACAGAGGAGAAGGAAGGCAGTAGGCTAAGAGGAATTCCTTTTGCCAGAGGAGTGATATGTTCACTCCTCTGTTAGGAGAAACGCATAGGAAAATGCATTCAATTATTTTATTTTATTTTAAAAAAAGGAATGCAACAATGAAGAAATTGAAACAAACTTGGAATGGGAAAAGTATTGGGAGAAATCAAAATGGATATATTCATTTATCTTTACCAATTATTCCACAATGAAGTTCATGCATGCAAAGTTCTCCATGCACATTCTCACCTGACCAAGAAAGTAAATTCCTCCGCCAACTATGAAAGCTGAAATAGCTGTCCCAATCACAGAAAACAAGGTGATGGAACCTATGTTTTGGAAGAAGTTTCCCTAAAATAAGAAAATGCAAGGGAGATATAACAAGAGAGAGTTTTGAAAAGGCTATAAACCAAAAATCACCAGCAATCAGTATCAGGTCCTGAATCCAAGCAAATGTAAAAATTAATGTTATACATCACATAATTAGGGTAAAAAATAAATTCAATAAATACATGGGTTGGAGAAGCACAGGATGCATTTCCTCATCCATGTCTAAATATCGGTAAATCATAAATACCTGGCATGAACAAACTGGACTTTCAGATCCAGGGACATTACTATCTATATGCAGATTGAGGCTCACCTTTGCTTTCTTATTTCTTATTTAATAAAGTTGCAGTACTCAATGACAAAGCTGGGCAGAATAAACCAATAATAAAAACCATATAATGAAGCAGAAAAGAAGGGACTGATTCTCTATCCCCCTGAGAAGAGAAAACCATCCAGGAAAAAAAAAAAAACTGTTAAGAGTTTTACCACCCACTCTAACCCAAGACCTGAGGGGGTGGGGGAGGGGTTAGACACCATACATTGAATGGCCTTTAAAACTAAGAAAAGAAACAATATGAACTTCTGGGAAAATGCTGATCCAGAAGACGGGCTCAGCATGCCAATTGGGCCTTTCCATAAACTGGCTCTCTCTGATAATTTCTTGCCATTACTGAAGGGACCCAACCATGGCACCCTATGTGTAGTCTTCAGCAGCTAGGAAAAGTGTGGGTCTAATAAAAAGTTGCCCGGTTTGTAATTTCAATATCCCTTTCCACTTCTTCAGGAATGACACATTCAAACTCATTCTGGCTAACCACAGAAACCAGATATAAAGGGCAAGCTTGGCATGTATTGGTCCGTCAATGGTTTGGCCAACATCAATGATTTCCATTAATTCCTGAGCTTTTAGAAGGTTTTAGATGTTTATAATGTTAATGAAATTTTATTGTTTCTGATTGGTGGATTTTGCAATATTATTTTCTGCTTGTCTACTATTGTAATTGACCTTGAGTAGGCCGTATACAAATCATTATAACGAACAGCCCAAAAAAACTCACTTTGTGCAATGAATACCCAGATTCAAATATAATCGGCGGAAGTAAAAGAAGAAAAAACATATTAGGACGAAACATTTCTTCCTCCTGCAAAAAAAGATTAAGGAATTATGAGATATATGAGAAAGGGAATAATACCATATTGGAACAAAGGTAAATCCAGCACTCTAATAAAAATAGGAACATTTTATTACAGTATGTGCCACCAAGTAAGTGTTGATTCCTAGTCGCTAGTTCCTAGCGACCGATACGCTCCCACAGAGAGGGCCTCCTCAGGGTGCCGTCAGCCAAACAATGTCAACTGGCGACTCCCAGGGGGAGAGCCTTCTCTGTGGGGGCTCCTGCCCTATGGAACGAATTGCCCCCGGATATACGAAGGATCCCCGACCTCCGTGCCCTGTTATTCCAACAAGCCGGTCTGATGGGACAATAATTTTAATTGGGTTTTAAATATGGGTTTTAATATGTTTTATAAGGGTTTTAGAATGGGAATTTTAAATTCGACCAAAATTGAATTATTTTAATATGGTTTTTAAATTTGTCTTGTATATTATTTTATTATGGCTGTTCACTGCCCTGAGTCCTTTGGGAGAAGGGCGGTATAAAAATATAATTAATTAATTAATTAATTAATTAATTAATTAATTAATTAAATAAATAAATAAATAAATAAATAAATCATACAGATAGATTTTGTCCAGGATGATCTGTTCTTAACCAAGTCATTTAAGTCTTCCATTGCCATTTTAATTCAGCCCATCCAGCTTGTTGCTGGTCGTCTTCTTCTTCATTAGTCCCACCTTAGGCATGATAGCTGGCTGGGTAATCTTGTGAGTTATTCTCTCTCAAACCAACCCATCTCACAGGGTTGCACTTGGCGAGAAAATAGAAGGAGGAAGAACTGAGACACCTCAAAGAATGTACTACCCTAATATCTGAATTGTCAAAATAGGCAACATGATAACAAAGATACTACAGTGAAGTAATGTATTATTAATAAGTATCACCCACTGGCGTGAAGAATCTAAAATTCTATATTTAAAATTAGGGATCCTGACATTCAAATATATAATAGAGCAGGTTTTTTGATCGTTCAGGATGTAGTTTTTAACTCAATGTGACTAGGGTGGGTTTTGGTTCTTTCTCACCTTTTGGTGGGCTTTAAAGGACTAAATATACTTACTTTCTCTCTTAACCTACCACAAGTAAAACAAACCTTAATCCTTCCCTTCTTAATTCCTTAAATCCCCTAAATTAGACTGAAAATTAGACTGAGATCACAAAAGGAGTATTGTTGACTGCAGGTTTCCTATCGGTGGCTTAGGAAATCTCTGTTTTATAAAAGTACAAAAACATTTTAGGGTTAACTAAAAGTGCAAAGGAGAAGAGGTTTCCCCCAAAAGGCTCAATAAAAACTGAGTGATTGGTAAATCCCTGGGAAAGGAGTTTATGGGATTCAAAACAGGCATACTCCATTTTTCAATGTTTATTAGGCATCCTGTTTTCATGGCAGAATAATGAGCTCAATTGCTGTGTGATTATAATTATGCCAGCTATCTCTGATGTAATCTATGTGTTGGATTATAAATCCTAGAATTACCAGCTAGCAGTTTGTACATCTTATTGAACTGAGACGACCAATAAAAAAATTCTCCCTCCTTTAGCAATGAAGAAAAGAATATTAATTGGGAGTTGGGCATTCCAGCTGAATTATTTAAAATAAATATGGCATCAATTATATGATAAATATATTGTAGAAATTGCTGATATACCTTCCAGTTGGCCAGCTTTTGAGATTCTATAATTTTTATAACTGCACCCATCAAGATACCTAAAAAGAAAAAATAAACAAAGAACAATTGATCTGTTCATGTGATAATTGAAAGTTGTAAGCCACTGCATATGAGTCATCTAAAAATAAGTATAGTCTCAAACAGTGGTCCTTCCTCCTCATCCTCATTATGCCTGCAATTTTCTCATAAAGCTCTGAATTCTGGGTTTATCCTGTCTGTCTTGGTGTTATTAATAACAGATCCAATCTCCTGAGAGACCAGAACAGGAAACTGAAAACAGCTCTGAGTTGCTATTACCTGTTCTGATATCAAAGAACAATTTCACAACCCTTTGAGTTCAGCAACTAAAGAGCTTAGCATTTCTTTCTTTCTTTATTTCTTTATTTATTTATTTATTTATTGCATATACACAGCAGTTGTCATGTAACTTTAGGCAACTTTAAACAACCCAGTAATATGGAAAGTAAATAGGGAAATAAAGGGAGGGAGGGAGGGAGGGAGGGAGGGAGGGAGGAAATCACAAATACCTATAGTTGCTAGAGTCAAAATTCACCTCGCCCATATTAACACACACTGATGGCTCATGCCTTAGTGACTGCGGGAACAGTCATGTTTTCAGGGCCTTTCCTAAGGCCAGCAAGTTATCTGGACCTCTGTCCAGCAACAGAGAAGGAATTTCAGAATTTTAATTTTGAGCTTTTTATGTTGATTACAAAACGAAGTGAAGCAGCTAGCTTCAATTATGCTATTTCCAATTCAAAGGAAAACTGGTATGACACTATCATGACCATATTCATGTAAGTGTTTTCCCTTTGCTGTTATTAAAACTGTCCGGAAAACAGTTACAATGTTTATAGCAAGGTCTTGAGAGAACTGGATTTATATAAAGAGGAAGAAAAGGCACATATATCGATGACACAATAATGATGTTAATGGTAACAACTATTTCTATGTATCCAAGCAAATGATCATTGCTTGTTTTGCTCTTCCCTGGAAACAAAACTGCTAACATTACCTTTTAACTCATTTGCATTCCCACCTTTTGACAACAGCAATAGCAAGAGCACTTAGACTTATATACTGCTTCATGGTGCTTTACAGCGCTCTTTAAGCGGTTTACAGAGTCAGCATATTTCCCCCAACAATCTGGGTCCTCATTTTACCCATCTCGGAAGGATGGAAGGCTGAGTCAACCTTGAGCCTGGTGAGATTTGATCTACCAAACTGTGGCAGCCAGTGAGCAGCAGAAGTAGCCTGCAATACTGCATTCTAACCACTACACCACCGCAGCTGTACAGAATTTTCTTTGAAGGGCTCTGGAGTAGCACAAGAGTACCATTACAACATCTCAAGGAGGTGGTAAAAAATTCAGATTGTAGATTACAAATGTAATGTGGATTACATTTTGTAGATTACATTTAAACCAGCTTCATTCTATGGTTTTTAATACTGGCCCATTTCTCTCTGTCAGAAGACAGCAATGGCAAATCACTTCTATACTGCTGCCAAGAAAAACAGAGTATCCATGGAGTCCCCACGAGCCAAGATTGATTCATAGTCATCTTTAGTTCCAGCAAGCAGTAAATACCATATCTAGATATTCTGTCCATGTTATAAACTAAATAGGGTTGAGTTTAAATGTACTTGGATGGGAGACTATTAGGAAATTCCAGACTGTAAACTAGCCTAGAAAGTCCCAAAAATATACAGGTAGGCATGAGGAGTTGAGCTCAACTTAAGAGAATTAATATATTTACCTAATCACAAATGAGGGAGAGAAAGGACGACAAGTTTATCTCATCATAAATTCTTTAGTTCACTCTGTGAGTTTTGTTCATAAGAACTCTGTCTGCCTCCCTCTAAGTGTGAGGACACATACTGTTTATGATGCAAGTTAACAGATTTTATACTTTTTCCTGCTGATGCCCTAGAAATGTAGCACAGCTGTTCATATATTTATAGGAACAATCTGTACAATGGCTGAAACAACAACCATAACCCAGAAAGAGATGGCTCTCTGTTTGGTACTAATGTTAGGGTTCTCAAAGACCAGCTAAGACCAATCCAATTACCTTCATATCTGTTGGTCAATACCATGCACCATGCACAATAGTTTAGCTAATAGTCACATTAGTTGATGACAATGAGAATTATTGGCCAATATCTGGATTTCAAAAAAAAATGTAAGTCATACAGGATGAGGAGAAATAACGCTCAGACTCAGCTGGGGAGGTGCTCTTCCATCCCAACTCTATTCTAAAATAGCAAAGCAAAATTCTCCTATGACAGCTCTCAGAGTATCAATCACTTATTAGGCAAGGTAAAAACAAGTCCCAGAATGCTCAAGATTACGGTATAACTTTCACAGCTCTGATCAACCTCAAGCAGAGAAGATGTTGAAACTGCCAACAGCAGTGCCAGATTTACAGAGAGGGTTTTGGATATTGCCATTCTTCCTTGCACAATAATAACCTGCATCCTTCACTCTCTTAAAACAAATATGTACAATCATTATGATTAAAGAACCTTCAACTTGAGGGATGTAAGTTAAAATCCTTGTTCGGTCATGATAATCAGTGACTGCCCTTCTCACAATCACCCATGTCCTGGCCATATAAATCTGTCTCATAAATTGTTTAATAAATTGACTTGGAACCAATCATATTATTTCTCCCCTTCACACTAGTGAACTTCACAGGATTATTCGGGGGGGGGGGGGGGGGGGGGGACTACTTACACTGTGTTGAATCTTACAAAGGAAATATATTATAAAGGCAAATAACCAAAAAAAAAAAAAAAAGCAAAGCTTGGATTAAATTACAATCTAGACTTTGAAAATATCAGTGACTGGTCATTTATTCAAACAGAACAGTATCTTTTTTCCTGCTACCGTCAGTACTTACCTAAAGAAACAACAGCAACACTCTCCGGCAAAAAATGCAGTCTGTATCTTATCAATAAATGCACCAATATGATGCAAATAGCTGAAGAAAAAGCAGACAATATTTAGAGTTATTTAACAACAAAATTCTTAATCAAACAAACTCTGCCATTAGTTAAAGTTAGTTAAATGCTATCTATAATAACTTTTTAATATTTTATATGGGCTTACAGGCACATTGTTCTGTGAGTTCTGATCAAAAACAATGTAACATGGTCATTGTCAGCTTCATGTCAGTTTTGAATAGAAGAAACATTGATGGTTTTGATCCAAACAATTCTTTCACATAACATATTATATTATATTTGGAAAAAGTCACTTCTAGGATTATTCTAGAACAGTTCACAATGAGATGTGCAGAAAAGAGCAAATACCGGTACCTATTGGGGGAGGGGCAGTTAGCTGCTAGGAGGAAGATCTAACTTCTCCCATTTGTGCAAGAAATCCTAGGATCCAAAGCTACGTATCCAATTATAAAAACTGTGTAAATTATTGCAATCTGTTATATTTTTAATTAAGAATCCAGGACAATAGATTTTCTTCCATGTAAACAATGAAGAAAGTAGCACCACTAAAAATGAGATATACAGGTCAGAAACTGCCAATCTTTTTAGATCAGTGGCCACATTTGTTATTATGAGAATCTGTTGGAGCTCCTGTAGCAAAATACTTGCCATAATGCGCATGGTGAACCATAAAAACACCTGCTTCCAGAGGATCTCCGCCAGTATGGTCTCTGTTGTGAGCTCCTTGATGCTCTCTGAACTTGGATGCTTTCTTGCAGATATTGCATTACCAAACTAGATAACAACATCAGTGCCAGAAGAGAGCAGGGGTTGCTCTGTATTTATATGCATTTTTAAAAATTTGGCAAATTTTAACTGTTTAACCAACTGTCCCATCTTTCATATTAAGAAACATAAGTAAATTAATTGTCATATCAGTTGTATGGTCATCCGCTATCTGATCTATTTACTTTTCCATAAATAATTGGATTATTTTTTTAAAAAAACTTAATGCTTTAACCTTAAGCTTCAACTTGTGAGTCCTTGAGTCCTTGTGGAGAAAGGGCGGCATATAAATCCGATAATAAATAAATAAATAAATAAATAAATAAATACATACATACATACATACATACATACATACATACATACATACATACATTTATTGCTTCTGAGAATTTTCCCACTGAATTAATATAACTTAACACCGTGAAATGCCTCTAGTCAATATTTCATTTTCCTATAGACATGTGGTAACAAATCTTAATGACTCTACAATAACATCAACACAAGTAACACAGACAAGCATTCATCCAGTTGTGAAATGTTGTAATTATTCTTGTGCATGAAGCATTGTGGGGGGTTTTTATGTTACAAAAGATTCTCCAAAATTTAATGTTGCAAGAATTTCACCACTCGTGAAAGGCTATTACAATTACAGTATGATATATACACCTAAACGACATGTTTTTCATATTAAAAACCGGGAATCAATAAGGAACTCCCCACCCATTCCTGTGTTATTTGTACCTCACATTGTGGATTATTTCAGACTACTTTTTCCCCAATTATAACATTTCCTTGAAATAGAAAAATAGGTACAATTCAAGGTGCTGGTTATCATCTTTAAAACCTTACATACCTTGGGGCCAGGCTATTTAAAAGATTGTTTCCCCCCCCACATTACATCCACTCAGCCCACTAGGATGGGAAGTCAGGACAAGGTAACATCGAGTAGGGATATACCGGTAGTCCTCAAGTTACAACAGTTCATTTAGTGATTGCTGAAAGTTACAACACTGAAAAAAAGTGACTTATGACCGTTTTTCACACTTAAGACCGTTGCAGCATCCCCATGCTGTGTGATCAAAATTCAGATGCTTGGCAACTGACTCATATTTATGACAGTGTCCCAAAGCCATGCAATCACCTTTTTCAATCTTCTGACAAGCAAAGTCAATGGGGAAGCCAGATTCACTTAATAACCAGGTTACTAACTTATCAACTGCAGCAATACACTTAACAAGTTTGGCAAAAAAAAAAAGGTGTAAAATGGGGCACCGTTCATTTAGCAAATGTTTCACTTAGCAACAGAAATTTTGGGCTCTATAGTGGTCGTAAGTCAAGGACTACCTGTACATCTAATGGGAGCATGAAAAAGGCCTTCTCAGGGGTAGCCCATTCTTTATGGAACATCATTCCTCCAAGGTACAATTGCCCTCCCAGCTTGTTGCTTTTTCCGAAAGGCCCTAAAACCGTGGTTTCGTCAGCAGGCTTGGGGACCACAAATGGAGATGGAACCGACCAAGTGGCTGATTTCATAGTCTTATGATTTCACTGTTTTATGGGGATATTTTTAATGGGTTTTTATTATATGATGCAGTAGTTCAGTGGCTATGACGCTGAGCTTGTTAATCAGAAAGGTCGACAGGTCAGCGGTTCGAATCCCCAGTGCCGCGTAACAGAGTGAGCTCCCATTACTTGCCCCAGCTTCTGCCAACCTAGCAGTTCGAAAGCATGTAAAATGCAATAATCCTACTTGCAAATATTACCCTTCTTAGCACTATATGTAGTCCTCAATTTACAACCACAATTGAGTCCAACATTTCTGTTGTTAAGCGAGACATTTGCTAAGTGAGTTTTGCTCCATTTTATGACCTTCCTTGCCACAATTGTTAAGTGAATGACTACTTCCCCATTGACTTTGCTTGTCAGTAGGTTGAAAAAGGTGATCATGTGACTTTGGGATGCAGCAACGGTCATAAGTATGAACCATTTGCCAAGTGTCTGAATTTTGATTACATGATTATGGGGATGCGTCAAAGGTTGTAAGTGTGAAAAATGATCACTTTTTCCAGTGCTGTTGTAACTTTGAATGGTCGCTAAATGAACTGTTGTAACTCGAGGACTACCTGTGTATCTCAAGCATTTATTTTCACAGCATTCTTGTGATATAATTCATTCTGATATACATGGATACAGTTGTTACTTCTATCCAATTGATTCAAATCTGCATGTGGTACATGAATGAGAAAAATGAATCAAGACTCAAAAGGTTTTAAATCAACTTTCGGAAAAGCATTTTTATGAGAAGATAAAACAACAAGCATTCAAATTTGGCTGTCAAAAAGTTTTATATTTTAAACAGCATATCAGGTAACCACAGCCATAACCCAATCAAAGAAGAAGCCACTTTTTCTCCCAATAAACTGAGAAAAAATGCCCAACACATGAAGAGTTATTTTATCCAGACAGCATACTAGTATGGAAAAGACCAACCATGCACTGGATTTTACCTAAACAAATTACACTCCATCCTAATCACATATATCCGAAGGTAAATACTAGTTTATTTTGGAGGACGTTAACTTCCAGGAAATAGGCTCTCCTATTCAGATTTGAGAATGAATTCTCCTCTGGATTTTAGCTTCTCTTATTTGGTAAACAAACCATCCCACAAAGAAATGGACACTTGCTAAAAGGTACACCTCTTCTCAAACAAAAAAACCGTATCTTTTTATTTATCTTCGGCAAATAGAAATAGTTTTCTTTTCTACTTCTGCTCTGTCAACATTTTTAGCTAACAAAGAGTTTCATCTTATAAACAGCACATTTAGACAATGGATCCATTTCATAAGTAGCAGTAGAAACAGTAAATATTGGTTTTAATCCAAAAACGTTTTGGAATTCAAAATTTGCAGGGCATCCAACCAACAGCAGCCTCATGCTAGTAACAGTAAACCAAGGAGAAGCAGCCAATATTCACCAAAAAAAAGTGGAGGGGAGGAAGAGGGTTGTAAGAAAGTCTGCAAAACTGTACAAAAAAGAGAAAAGCAGGGAGTAAGTTTAGTAAACTTAGATAAAAATGCAAGTTGTTAAAATATTTGATGACTTCATCAAACAAAAGAGACTAGGCCATTCCAGCCAGGCTTCTTCAAAAAGGCCTTATCCAGAATTGTTAACAGCATAAAGAAAAGAAACCCAGGTCTCATGAGATAATGGGGGCTCCGTTTAGTACTGTAGAAGATATTATTGGACATAGCATGTGACATTACTGTGACAAGTGACACAACAGTCAAGTGAGAAAGACTCATTCAACAAGAAAAAAAGTGGCAAAGGGGAGAAAGAGATTACCAAGCAGCCATGTTTGTCTAGAACACCGATTGTTTTAGAGGTTATTTTGATAGTTATTTCTCCCCATCAATATTTTTTTTAGGAAAGTGTCTAGGTCTAGTCTTTAATAAGTCATTTGGCAAAGCGGGAAGCCATACAATGTTTTCAAATAAATAAATAGAGGCCTTCTATGCCCTAAGTGCTTTCCCACAAGCACTGAACCTCAGGTATAATAATGTACCACCAAGAATAAGGTTTCCTAGCCCTTTTTTGCCATTGTTTCTAAAACAGCCTGTTCAGCTTTAATTTGGACTACATTTAACAAGTATTAGCTGGTTTTAAATAAAAGTTTCCAGGAAATAGCCTCATCATGAATCAGATGGCTAATACAACTTCCTCTTTATTGCCTGCATTGTTATCAGTGGCTCCTAAGGTTTCATATCAGACTTTTCCTGCCCAACCTAGTGCTGTCATGGATTGAATTGGAAAGGTATGTGCTCTATTGGTGCTTTCTTAGTCACAGCTTATTTACAGTGTTTTTTTTTACAATTTGCCCTTTCACTGCAAATAGTAAGGAGTCATTGCTGAGACACACTCTGCAGTCAACATCTACCAACCCATTTGCAAGTTATCCAACCCTGGAGCTTGAATAACAACAAACCCTTTTGAGTAGTAGAATAACATTTTGCTGCATCTTACTTTCTCTGCATATTTCAGTATAGCCACTCCTACAAACTCATAGTGCTTCTGTAAATAATATCCTTTGGAATTTTCATTAGGCTGAAGTGACATATAAATTGTAGGAAGAGAGAGGAGGAGTTGGTCAGTTTGGGGTAATGATGACAGCATCAGTAGAACCAGGGAGACCTTATGCACAAAGCCAGATATGGAGCCTTGGGTCTCTCTCTCAGCCCTAGGAAGAAAACAATGGCAGACTACTTCCATAACTTTTGCCCAGAAAACTGCCCGGATTCATCCAAGCAGTTACCAAGGGTCAACACTGACCCAAAAGCACTCTCCTCCAAAACTCTCCCCCCCACATCAAACTAGCATCTGTACAAGGAACTTATTTTGTTGTGACGTATTTTACAAATTTATTACAGGTAGTCCTCAAGTTACAACACTATGTTTAGTGACCATTCAAAGTTACAACAGCACTGAAAAAAATGACATGACCATTTTTTACACTTAACGACCATTGCAGCATCCCCATGGTCCTATGATCAAAATTTAGACACTTGGCAACTGACTCGTATTTATGACGGTTGCAGTGTCCTGGGGTTGCCTTTTGCAAATTTCTGTTAAGTAAAGTCAGTGGGGAAGCCAGATTTACTTAACAATGGTGTTACTAACAACTGCAGTGATTCACTTAAGAACTGTGACAAGAAAACTTGTAAAATGGGGCAAAACTCACTTAACAACTGTCTTTTGGTCTCAGCTGTGGTCGTAAATCGAGAGTTACCTATATAGAGGTGACCTAAATCTGCTTTACAAAAATTATTAGACTATTTTCAGAATATTTTTAAAATGTAAGAACTGATCCTATTAATTACCATTCCTCAATTTTTTTGCAGATTTTTTTAATATCACCAGTGCTTCTTGTCATGATAGTTCCCCCCCTAACAATTGTTGTTATTATATTTTTAACTCATCTTTTTTCTTTGTTTAAAAATTAATAAGGTACAGTTAGGAAGAAAATGACTCTAATAGTAATATAATATTTTTTATTGTAATTAAAAGTTCATGTGAATCTTGTATCTTCATTAGGAAAATTCTCATTTAAACAGGCAAATAGTGAAACTCCAGGATAAATGAAAATGTCTTTCTTATATTACCACTCTACTCACGCAAACTACAACGTAACTTGTAAATTGCCAAAGTAAAGCTTTGGCTGGAAATAACCTGCTATTCCCAAGAATCAACCTATCAAATTGTTTTCCCTTATCCTGGGAAAAATCATTAATTTGATACCCACACAGTATTAAGTTATCATGTATTTAAACATAACTTTGCTAAATAAATCACAATTGGCTGAATCTACATACTATATTAAATCCTAATTAATGAATTACAAATTTTATACAACATGGCTAAGCCAAAAGGAAGAACGCAGCCTTTAACTCCACTTATACATTATACCTCATCTTAAAATATTTACATTTTCATGATTTGTATGCAGCCATCAGCTACTTTCATGTGCAGCCATAGCAGTTTGCTAAATAGTTAGAGAAGCCAATGTGGAACAGGTTACATTTAGTTAAACGTGCTATGATGCTATTTCCAGAAGGTTGAATATAATGCACTAAGACCAATGGGCACATAGAATGGTTTATGACAGACGAGATCATCAAGAATCTGTAAACATTTAGCAAACCACAGATAACATTTGCCAAAATCTCCTGGATGGAGAATTTGAAACATTACACAAGATAAAGATCACTTATGAGCCACATGTGATTTCTGAATTGCTTATTTCATATCCCATTTGGTTATTCATATCCCATTCTGACAGCACAAATGAACACTGACAGTACAGTTTTCCATCATTTTTAAGAGGGAAATCAAAACTCTTAGAAAAAAGTTGCAATTCTCAAACAGCCCCCACCCTGCCAAAAAAGCTTTCTGGAAACTTATGAGTATACTTATTCATATGGCATAATCCTCTCAAATTCACACCTTTATCCTAATGAGTAAAATGGGGGGGGGGAGAGACACTCCCAAAGTGTCGCTTCTGATAAAAGAAATATTTTTTGCCCCTGCTCTAACCATGTGAAATTTGATGTTCCTACTACTTGCTTATATGCATAATCAAAAAGGTAAAGGAGTTCCTGTGGATTTTACTCTGCTGGTCATTGCTGACTATAATAGCAATAACACTTGGACTTATATACCGCTTCACAATGCTTTACAGCCCTCTCTAAGCGGTTTACAGAGTCAGCATATTGCCCCCAACAATCTGGGTCCTCATTTTACCGACCTCGAAAGAATGGAAGGCTGAGTCAACCTTGAGCCTGGTGAGATTCAATCTACCAAACTGCTGGCAGCCGGTGATCAGCAGAAGTAGCCTGCAGTACTGCACTCTAACAACTGTGCCACCGTGGCTCTTATAAGCATTATAAGGGGTAATGCTCATCTCCATTTCGAGTACATTGAACCAGCGCTGTCCAAAGACATTTCCATGGTCATGTGGCCAGCATGACATCATGAAGCACTATTACCTTCCATTGAATACATATTTATCTACTCTAATTTGCATGCTTTTGAATTGCTAGGTTGACAGGAGCTAAGGCAAGGACAGGAGCTCACCCTGTCATGTGGTGCTCAGATCTCAAACCTGGGCTGCCAGCTTTCCAGTCAACAAGCCCAGTGTCTTAACCACTGAGCCACTGCATCACCCTGCATGAGTAAAAAGGTATGCAAATTTTATTTCAGAAAGACTGAAGCTAATGTTCACATCTGCTTACTTCTATTTTGGAAATTAAAACAATTCTTCCACTCCACTTTTTCTTTATACTAGCAATACAGATCAGAAAGCATAACTGGAATTGTGTTTCACTACCTTCATTTTTCCATGATTGCTATCAAATGTAATTAATAAGAGATTACCTAATACAAGGAGACTAAAGAATATAGTCATGCCACTCGATTGTTCTTCCTGTTGAGCCTGGACGCCAGTTTGCACTGGGAGGATTGGTTTGGCAGGTGTAGGAAGCACTAGTTTTGTGGTGAGGGCCAGGGTGGTATGAAGGGTGAAATTGAATACATCATGGGTCACATTTGAGAAGCTGTAAGAAAATGCAAACCCAAGTCAGACTGCATAGAAACAGGACTAAAAATAAAAACAATGGCTAAAACACAGAAAACTGTGGAAAAACTGTTATTTAAGAAACAACTGCCTAACATTAACCTGTCTGAAAAGAACTGTGCTTTATTGTAGGTCTTGGATAATTGCAATATAAATACTGTGACTCCAAAATCTCTTGGGAAACTATTGTAGTAAAATGGTTAAAATAACTGTGTGTGAAGACTACAGTACCTGAAAGAACATTTGCTGCTTCTAAGAGTAAATACATCAAAGCAAAATAGAAATAAAGATAAAGACACCTACAAGTATATAATCTAGATTCTAGAAAAAACAAAGAGTGCCTAAGAGACTGAACTACTCCAGGAGGAATGGATGGTGCATATTATATTAGTGTTCTAAAGTATCAGTAATAGCTATGGGATAGTTATTATAGCTATGCACACTTCAAAACTGATTTGGAAGAAATAATATTGGACACAAGTACATAATATCTCTCTGCTATTTGTTAAAACAGCCTCATTATATTAACTTTAATAAATTGACTCCTTAAATCAGGGCCCCTTTTTTCAGCTCATTCAGAAGCCTCATTCATGGAAGAAGAAGAAAACCTAACTTAAATACAAGGTATTACAAGATGCACAAAAAAGAGGAGGATTGAGTCTACCAGTTTGGAAATTATACTTTGCTGTCTGCTGTCTAGCTTGAATGAAAGAGTGGATGTTCGTATGAAATAGAAGGCTAATAGAAGAGAGTATTATGTTATACAATACAATACAATACAATACAATACAATACAATACAATACAATACAATACAATACCAACAATAAAGGAATGGTTGGTGATCATGATAGAACTTGCAGAAATGTCTAAATTGAACTTCTTGATTAAAGAAAAGATAGTGTTTACATTTATGGCTCACTATAAACCCTTTATTAGAGCCTTTTGGCATGAACCAGAAAAATGCACTTGGGACTCATGGTTCTGATGATTAGGAATAAAATGAATAGAAAAAAGTGAGGGTTTTTTTGTAATCCTAGAGTAAGGAATTACTTTGTAATCATATTTTTATTTGCTGCTAAGGAAATCAGAAACTTCTATTTCTTTTTATCTTTTCTTTCTGCACTTTTATCTTTGTTTTCTTTTTCTTGTGTTTTAGTTTATGTTGGTTTTTATAATTTCTTTTAAAATTTTAATAAATTTATATAAGAAGTTGCATTACTGAATAGTAGAAAACCATGTGCTCATGAGAAAACCAAAACACTTGTTCCAAACCACTTTAAAAGTGTATACTGTACAGCTCATATGGCTCTCCAAGGAACAGATGGTACAATCAGATGTCCTAAAATTTAGTACAAGACCAAGCATACCTCATAATCCAAAATCAAGAGAAAATAGTCAAATTGGACAATTTAAAGATGAGTTCTTAAAAGCCTTTACTTTGATTCAGATTTTCTTCATAGCTAGTTCTACATTCTCATTACCCCTTTGCTCACATGCTGACAAAAAGGTAAGAATGTTACATATTCACAAGTTTCCAATAGGCCTCTGAGTTTTATATTCCATATGTGATGCAAAAAATATCGCTAATTCACACTATACTCATGCTAATATGCTGAATAATGCAGGAAAGAGTAACCGAGATATGCCCTGCCTGCTTGTCTTGTATAATGTGATAACATGTAGAGAAACTACGTAGCTAAGGCCATTATCATATAACCATGATGGCGAACCTATGGCACGCGTGCCAGAGGTGACACACAGTGCCCTCTCTGATGGCACGCAAGCCGTCGCCCCAGTTCAGCTCCACTGCGCATGCACGCATGCCTTCCGCTGGCCAACTGATCTTCGGGTTTCTGCCGCACATGCACGGGGGCGGGGTGTGTGCAGGGGCAGTAGTTTTTTGCATACTGGTTTGCCAGTGCCTTTTTAAGGCTAAGGGACAGTATCTGGCCCAATGTCACCCAGACAGCTTTGTGCCTAATGCAGAAGTAGAATACACAATCTTCCAATTTCTAGCCTGGTGTATTAATCACTACACCAAACTAACTTTCTGTTTAGGTCCACATACTAATAGGTATATTATTCTCTGTGCAAAAAGTTGGTAGTTATATTTATATGTAAAGTTTTGTTTGGCAAATTTCAATTTTCAATTCTATATCTTTGATATGGATAAATTCAGTATAAAAATACCAAGTATTCTTTAACAATAAAAAATGAGGGAAACATTTCATATAAGACCAATTGTGTTCATTCATATTTTTGCACTAATGCAAAGTCTGAAGTAATGCTATAATTCTTGCACTGATATCCAATAAGCAAAAGAGGATGCTATTCTTTTAATTATCATTGCAATCTGTAAGTTTCATTGCAACTTTCTTTTTATAACCTGGCAATATATCTTTCCTCTTCCACTTAGGTTGCTCTGCTTACAAATAATTATCATATCATGGTCAATATTTATTCATTTGTATCCGGTGTTTATTATTTTTACAGATAACTCAATAACTGCTATTTTCCCCACAACCCATGAGAAAGTGCATGACTGGCCCAAGGTCACCCAGCTGGCTTTCACAGATAGCTAAGGTGGGATTTGAACTCACAGTCTCCTGCTTTCTAGCTTGCTGACATAACCACAAGACCAAATTGGCTCTCATATGTGTTTAAACAGTATCAACAGCTTAACTCAAAGGTGTTTTTTCAAGAGGCAATGGGACTTCAGAGCTGAAGCAGCTTCTTAGATGAGAAGTGAAACGTCTTCAAAGAAAAAAAACCAGAAAGTCCAGTTGCCTCTTGAACAAAAAGCACCTTTGGGACAAGAATGAACTGCATGACTGAGATTCTCCATAGTTATCAATAGCTTAACTTCAACATTTCCTGGAACTTGTCTGAGAAATGACTCAGCCTTCCACACCTCCAACACTGAAGACACCTTTCAACTTCTTGTCCCAAAGTTGCTTTTTTTCTGGAGGCAACTGGACTTCTGAAAAATTCAGTTGCACCCTGGGGGAAAAAAAAAAAAAGCACCTTTGGGACAACCATGATCTGGATGACTGAGAATCTCTACAGACTTTTAATTATACAATTTGGAGAATTATACAACTTTGAATAGTGTGGGAGTAGGGATGGATTTCCAGAGGGAAAAAAAATTGCAGACCACAAAAACCAGGAGCACTACTTCAGGTGATCCTGAGGACATAGGATAAATCTCCAAGTGCTTCAAAGACCCTCTAAAAGGATGCAAATGACCAGCTGTCTGCAAGGAATATAAATCCTTCCATTCCCCACTATCCTGTCAGAGCTGAAGAAGCTTCTTGGGTGAGAAGTGGAACATCTTCAAAAGAAACAAAACAAGAAAGTCCAGTTGCCTCCTGGGGGAAAAAAAAGCACCTTTGGGACAACCATGACCTGGATGACTGAGAATCAGCCTTTCAACTTGTTTGTATTATATTATATTATATTTATTATTTTATTTTATTTTATTTTTATTATTTTATTTTATTATTTTATTTTATTTTGTTAAGCATGTATTAGATAACATATATATATATATATATATATATATATATATATATATATATATATATATATATATATATATGCATATTCTTTCTAGCCAGGTTTTACCTACGTAAACTAAGTTGTTCTACAGCCCTGGTTCTGTGAAATCTCATTCACAAGTTTCTGGGCCTTTTTTCTGCTGACAAACTGCAACTCTGTGTTGCTCTCTGGGAGACTCAGATAGCTATTTCTGCCTTTTAAGGCGTCATCGGTGAGCCACACCCACTTCTCAGATATCCTCCCTGTAAAGGTACAATAAAGGTAGGTGAAACCTGGCTAGAAAGAATATGCACATAAAAGCCTACGAAAAAGAAACAGACACATTGTACCTTTACAGGGAGGATATCTGAGAAGTGGGTGTGGCTCACCGATGACGCCTTAAAAGGCAGAAATAGCTATCTGAGTCTCCCAGAGAGCAACACAGAGTTGCAGTTTGTCAGCAGAAAAAAGGCCCAGAAACTTGTGAATGAGATTTCACAGAACCAGGGCTGTAGAACAACTTAGTTTACGTAGGTAAAACCTGGCTAGAAAGAATATGCACATAAATTCTGTGAAATCTCATTCACAAGTTTCTGGGCCTTTTTTCTGCTGACAAACTGCAACTCTGTGTTGCTCTCTGGGAGACTCAGATAGCTATTTCTTAAAAGGCAGAAATAGCTATCTGAGTCTCCCAGAGAGCAACACAGAGTTGCAGTTTGTCAGCAGAAAAAAGGCCCAGAAACTTGTGAATGAGATTTCACAGAACCAGGGCTGTAGGACAACTTAGTTTACGTAGGTAAAACCTGGCTAGAAAGAATATGCACATAAAAGCCTACGAAAAAGAAAAAGACATACATACATACATACATACATACATACATATATATATTTCACTGATAAAGAAATAAAGGGAGACTAGTATAGATCTATTTGAAGCTATTTAGCCCTCATCAGCTAGCCATACCCTTACTTGGATTCGAACTTGGGCTGCCTGCACGTTAGGTAGTTGTATTAACCTCTGAGCCACAAGTTCTCCTCCCTTCATCAGTTTGAGCCAGGGGAGAGATTAAGTGTTTTTCTATCAAGACACCTGATCTACCCTAGCATGTGATGTGGGAGGGAGCATACTGCACCCCTTTTACCTTTCAGCTCCAATCCAGGAACCCTCAAGCAGTCGCATTCACGAGAAACCATTTTACACCAATTTCTTGTGGCTCAGAGGTTAATACAACTGTCTAACATGCAGGCAGCCCAAGTTCGAATCCAAGTAAGGTTTTGGCTAGCTGATGAGAGCTAAATATCTTCAAATAGATCTATACTAGTCTCCCTTTATTTCTTTATCAGCGAAATATAAATTTGGTATAAAATGGTTTGTCGTGAATGCGACTGCTTGAGGGCTCCTGGATTGGAGCTGAAAGGCGAAAGGGATGCAGTATGTTCCCTCCCACATCTCCGATCACGCTTTGCTCGCACATGCACGAAGCCAAAGACACCAGCCTGAAGATGACGAGTGGGACCTCGTCAAAACATCGCCAAGATACTCTCAATCTTACATGGGAAAAGACCCGAATATACCAAGACTTGCATACCTGTACCCGTGAAAATCTACGAAAGCAAACAAATATATATATATATCAATTTTCTTACTTCTTCGTAGGGTTTATGTGTGTTTTTCTTCTAGCCAGGTTTTCCCTACGTAGCCAAGGTTTTTTTGTAGCTCCAGCTCAGTAGAATCACATCTACTGGGTATAGTATGTATATATATACATACACACATATATATCTTTAGCCAGATTCTTCCTACGTGTGTGTGTGTGTGTGTGTGTGTGTGTGTGTGTGTGTGTGTGTATTCTTTTAATTCATAGGTTCAAATGTATAATACTTTTTTAGCCAGGGTTTTTTCCTATGTAGATTAAGTTGTTTACTTGGCCATAGTGGGGTGATATCTCAAATCACCACTTTCAGGCTTTTTTCAGACATTTTGTGTTGTTTGTTCTGAGACTTATGGGAGACTGGGATAGTACTATTTCTATCTTTTAGATTTCATCGGCCAGCCACACCCATATTTTATGACTCCTCCCTGTAAAAGTCAAATATTTATTCTTATATAGAATCTTATATATAATCAAGCATGTATTAGATAACAGATATAAGTATAAACATGATTATGAATACATGAAATATATTATATTATACATATATACATATATATCACCTTTGGGACAACCATGATCTGGATGACTGAGAATCTCTACAGCCTTTCAACTTCTGGTTTATATTTTATTTTATTTATTTATTTTATTTATTTCGTCAAGCATGTATTAGATAATAGATATAAGTATAAACATGATTATGAATACATGAAATGGATATGAATAAAAGGGGACATTGGGCATCCCCCTCCCCCCGGCCCCAGGCTTCCTCAATCAGGAGTTTTTCAGACGGGCTCGACTCCGTCCCCCACCAGCCAGCCCAGCAATGACAGCCGAGGTGTCAGGAGAGCCGTATGTATGTCAGCATACCAAAGAAGACACCTGCTTGGAAAGGCCAGGATGGCGGGTGGGATCGTAAACCTCCCCTATCTGGAAAGGCCCAGGTGGCAGGAATGGTATGAAATGAGAGTGGCTGCTCTGTGGGGAGGCGGGGGTTCCATTAAAGGCGGCCCGCACCTCAAAGGCCCGATGTAGGTTTCCCCTCATGCCATTCTTTCTTTCCGTCCCCTCACGCGTTGCTTCTCCACCGACCTTTTCACCCGCCGCAAATCTGGCACCGTTGACCTCCCCCCTCTCCCCCTCCCCCTCCTCAGTCCCGACAGGAATTCCCACCCCCACGCCTCTTCCCCCACGCCTAGAGAAAGAGAAACCACTCACTCCATTTGCGCCATTCTTCAACTCTTAACGGTGGTGGTGGTTCTGGGGGGGAAAAGAATTATGTTGTTTCTTTCCGTCTTCTCCCTGCCCCCCCCACCACCACCTGCGCACCATAGAGCGTTATAGAACTGCACTATGCGAGGCCGACTTCCGGGTTCTTGTTTGCGACGCTCTGGAACCGGCAAATGCGCGTCTCTATGGCAAACAAGAGTCTGGGGAGGACCGGAGAGGGCATTTGTGGTTTCAGTGCCAGCTCTTTTTCGGTAATTACGTCATCGGCGCATGGCTGGGGCGTTACGTCATGGCCGAGATTTGCATATCCGGCCTTGTACGGTGCCGCGTCATTTCTCCAACTGTTCAAGAGGCTTCCGAGCGAAGGAGCCCCCACCTGCTGCTCAGGTGTGGCCGTTAAATGGCACTTAACCAAGGACTCTTGGTGTGGAAAGAGCGAAACTTTTGAGGAATCGGTCAAACATGATTCCTTGGGAGTACCCTAACCATGGCGTAGCCAATCCAATTTTCAGGATTAATCTGGAACGCCAAACCACAATATGTTGGAATTACCATTCATATTGGATAAATCCAATTACTGACTGGGTTCTCACATCCCACTAAAATGTGATTGTTTAAATCAGAGGTCTTCAAACTTGGCAGCTTTAAGATTTGTGGACTTCAACTCCCAGAATTCTCCAGCCAGCATAGGTTGGGGACCCCTGGTTTAAATGGTGCTCTGTGTGGAATTCTAACTTGGATTTTTATTTTTATTTTTTTGGTTTTTTTTTTTGTGCCTTTTAGTCAGCTTTTAATTCCAAAAAAAGTTCCTGGAGTTTTCTCAGCAAGGTTTTTTGAAAGTGGTTTGCCATTAGTTTAACATTTATAGGATAGTATTTTAAAACCAAATGCAGGCAGTCCTCCACTTACAGCAGTTCATTTAGTGACCATTCAAAGTTGCAGTGGCACTGAAAAAAGTGACTTGTGACCATTTTTCACACACATGACCATTGCAGCATCCCCATGATCAAAATTCAGATCCTTGATAACTGGTTTATATTTATAACGATTGCAGTGTCCCAGGATCATGTGATAATTTGCCACCTTCTGACAAGCAGTCAATGGGAAAGCCAGATACATTTAACAACGGTGTTACTAATTTCAAAATCAAAATAGAGCTAAAAGAGACCTTGGAGGTCTTCTAGTCCAGCCCCCTGCTCAAGCAGGAGATCCTATACCTATCCTATACCATTTCAAACAAGTGACTGTCCAGTCTCTTCTTAAGAACCTCCATTGATGAAGCACCCATAACGGCTGAATTTAACAGCTGCTAGGATTCACTTAACAAATGTGGCAAGAAAATCCATAAAATGGGGCAAAACTGCCAACAAATTTCTCATATAGGAACATAAATCTGGGTCTCAGTAGTGGTCGTAAGTCAAGGACTATCTGTACTATCCATAAATAGTATGTGGCATTTTGCATCACTGCATTTTCCAGGGGAATAGTCAAAGAAACTATGTTTGCACAACATGTTCACACAACATGCAAGTCATAAATGGAGAAATCACAATATGGCTAAATATAATACGTGAACTGTTTAATTATTTTTAATTTGAATTATAATAACAAAAAACCCTAAAGATTATCCATGCCTGGTCCAAATACACTGTTGGAGATATTTCACTCTGAGAAAAGTAAATTAACAGATCATTAGAACATTTTTAACTTGGAGTGGAAAGCAAACTAAGATTGAAAATGATAAATAGGAAATTTAGAGCAGTCAAAGAGAGTTTCTTTTCATAGGTAATTACAGAGAGATTTGATACCTATGTATAAGTTTTTAAAAGATTATTTTAGGCAAACTGATAAGTGAGCAACAGAATAGAAGTGTTCCTCTTTATCACCTGAACTGCATGGGTGGTAGACTTATAGGCAAGAGACCTAAACAAGAGGAGGCCGCTATTTATTTATTCAATTTTTATCCTTCCTTTATTACTTTATAATTATTCCTTTCTCCTATTTTCACCACAACAATAACCATCTTTCTCTTTCCTTTGAACCTAAAGTGAAGTTCTGTTCTACTTCCCAGTCTGGTATATAAAACAATTCCTTCTGCTTTCACTCATTTCCCTTTTTTGGCAAAGCTTTTGAAGGTGAAAGGAAACACAAACCATTAGAAAGTAATACAATTACAAAATAAAAATAAAAGCCTACAGTATAATAAAAAGTCGGATTAAATTGAGAGAGAAGAACTTGATGTTTCTGATTCAACAATATTGTATCCATTGGTCTTAACTGGTCCAGCAGCAGTAATAAGAGGAATATGTAAAAGTATTGAACTTTTCAAAGAGACTGAATTCATGCATAGTGTTAATTCATAGGTTGTTTTAACTATTATTAATTAATTTGCAATTGGCTAAATCTGCACTGTATGCTAAATTATAAACCATGGTTTAAAACCATAAGGACAGGGTATGCATAATTTGTCAAGTCAAAATCAAATCATATTATGGCTTAGCACAATATTTGAATTCTGTTGTTTTAATTCTTCTTTGTACATCATGCCACATTATTGAAAGAGAAATGCATTTTTTTGCTTAGTTACCTAAGAATAGAAAATGAATAAAACAGCAGACAAACAACAAGTTTACCCCAGCTCTGGGATTTTCTCCAAATTCATCACAGCAATGCATAAAAGTAATCATTTTTGCAGAAGAGGTTCTATATAGAGTTTTCATTTGTGGTTGTCTGCTATGCAGGTAATAAGCATTAATTAAACATGCTAGGTGAATTCTTTTTCTTAAATACGGTCAAGAATTTCCTCCTCCAGTGCTAAGATGTGGTAGTAAATTAGTTGTGTTTAATCTGCTAGGTAGTCTAAACAGAATCCCCTGATAGAATATACGGAATTCTACGAGTAAATACGAGTAAATAACTTGATGTAGAGTAGATAGTCAAAAACTAATTTTGTATCTGTACTTTCTGATAGTTCTGATCTTTCAAAAATGTAAAGTACCCAAGCCTTGGACTTCACTTGGTTTCCACAAACAAAATGCTTGGGCTTGCAAAGCAAATGGAAGACTGATTCATTTAATTTTAAACTGCCTGGAGGAAAGGAAAGGAAACTGAGATTCACATTTAAATCAATTGTTTTTGTGTCAGTCATTTCGCAACAACCTTCAGGCTGTCCACTGAGAATAAATAAACAGGAAAATCATACTGAACAATGCAGGAAGTGCCCTACTTGAATTTAAAATCAGAAAATAGCCAAACACTTTATTAAAAAGTAAGCATATAGTGGGATTCAGAAATACATTCCCTGACCATTTGTTTTTCTTCATATAAATCATGTTAATGTGGCTTATTAATGAGGGCATATTATGTTCTACTTGTGCATTTTTTAAAACATTTTTTGTGTGTTTTCACTACTGTATAAAGCAGGGGTCAGCAACCTTAAATAGTCAAAGAGCCACAAACCTCCTAACCTGAAGCCCCCCGTTCAATTCTGGAGCTGACCGGAAGTCCGGTTCCCCCACTATAGAGTCTCCTCCTAGTCGGCATCCTTCTTCCTCTGCCAACCGGAGATCTGGTTTTCCCACCATAGAGTGTCCTCCTGCGCGGTGTCCTTTTTTCCTCTACCTGTCCTAACCAAAAGCCCTATCAATTGTGGAGCCAACTGGCGACAGGGAGCCGCAGCAGAGGGATGAAAGAGCCACATGTGGCTCCAGAGCCGCAGGTTGCTGACTCCTGATATAAAGATAGTCCTTGACTTACAGCCACAATTGTGATGGGATCTTCTGTTGCTAAGTAGGGTGGTTGTTAAGTAAGTTGCGTACCATTTTACAAACTTTTTTTATCACATATGTTCAGTTAATTACATGGTAATTAAGTGAATCCAGCTTTTCCCATTTGCTTGTTGGAAGCCTGCTGGGAAGGTCACAAATGGCAAACACATGATCCTGGGCTGCTGCAACTATCATAAATACATGCCGGTTGCACAATGTACAAAGTTGGATCACGTGACCATAGGAACACTACCATGATTGTAAGTGTGAGAACCAGTTGTAAGTCACTTTTTTCAGTGCTATTGAATATTGAAGAGCAAAAGCACTAGATTTATATACAGCCTCATAGTAATTTACAGCCCTCTCTGGGTGACATGGTGGCTCAGTGGCTAAGACGCTGAGCTTGCCGATCAAAAGGTCGGCAGTTCAGCAGTTCGAATCCTTAGTGCCGTGTAACAGGGTGAGCTCCCGTTACTTGTCCCATCTTCTACCAACCTAGCAGTTCGAAAGCATGTAAAAAATGCAAGTAGAAAATAGGGACCACCGTTGGTGGGAAGGTAACAGTGTTCTGTGTGTCTTTGACATTTAGTTATGCTGGCCACATGACTACAGAGACCTTGTTGGACAGAGCTGGCTCTTCAGCTTTGAAACAGAGATGAGCACCGCCCCCTAGAGTCAGGAATGACTAGCACATATGTCTTTCCCTTTCCCTTTACCTGGGTGATTTACAGTGTCAGAATATTGCCACCAACAATCTGGGTCCTTGTTTTATCGACCTTGGAAGGATGCAAGGCTGAGTCAACCTTGAGCCCCTTCCAGATCAAACTCCAGGCTGCAGGTGTGCAAGGAGTTTGCCTGCAATACCACATTCTAGCCATTGCACACCAGGGCTTCTTGAAACCTTGAGTGGTCATTAAATGGTTGTAAATAAAGGACTACCTATGTTTATCACACTATAATAGCCTGTGATATACTGTATAACATAACGTAAAGGTAAGCAGATCAGTGGTGGGTTTCTACTGGTTCACCCGGGTGAACTGGGAGCGGCAGTGATGGAAGGCTCCGCCCACCCACCCGGACGTCATCACGGATGCTCTGTGCATGCATAACCTATAACAGCTTGACATTTTTTCCTGTGTCCTTCCTTCCTTTCTAGTGGTGGCAGATGGGGATATATATTGATGGCAGGCCATGGATGTTGGTCTTGGAAGCAGGTTGAAAGGACTATGCAAAGGACTATGCTACTTCCAGAGAAAGTATAAAGCACGGGTATCAAACTCGATCGTGTCACAGGCCAGATGGTGATGTATCGTGACATTTTTTGCCTTTGCGGAGCCAGGCTGGACATAGCCTGCACGTAACATATCTGGCCCGTAGACCACCAGTTTGACAGGCCTGGTATAGAGGATCTCTGGATGTGATCATATAGCTGGGATAGAAAGTGTTTGCTGCAGCTGTCAG